ACTCCCTCGTGCCCTCTCCCACACACGATGAAATCTCAGCAGTTCTAGTCTGATGCAGGTAACTATGGTCAAGAGGACATCTTTTGTTTGCATACCCTACACCTTGGAGGAGGTGGCAAAAGTGTCCTGTGTAGGCTTGACCAATTTGTGTGCATTGGACTCAGCCAGCTGTAAGGAACAGCTTTGACCAAGGCTGGGTGTTTTGGTTGTTTCTTTAAGGTGGATCCAGTGAAATCCTCACAGCAGGCTGTGGTTTCTCACTGGAAAAGTGCCTAAAGCTACCCATGATGGTCAAAATCAGAGCAGAATGTTTTTTTTTTTTTCCTTTTTTAGGTTTTCAAGACAGGGTTTCTCTGTGTAACAGTCCTGGCCATCTTGGAACTCACTTTGTAGACCAGGCTGGCCTCAAAGTCACAAAGGCCCACCTGCCTCTGCATAAGAATGTTCGGCTAAATAAATTCAATTTTATTTCTGGTACTTCCGTACCTGGGTTAGTTACTGAAATCCATTTACCCTTTTCACTTCACCCCTATGGTGTGGCTGCTGGAAACCTCAACATGCCTGTGCCTTTGAATTCTGTCTCTGTCAGTGTCTCAGCTTAATGGGGGTGTAAATCTGAATGACAGCTATCACCTGAAGCCAGAGGAGAAGCCACCTTCTCTGGATGGTCAGTCTGCTCCAGCCCCTCCAGTTACTGTGCCCCACAGGAGCACACAGACCACAGCCTGCCTGCTGTTCCCATCCTCATCTGGATTCTTCCTTAGCACGCATCGTTCTAAGCCAGGAGAAACTTGAAACTCACCGTGCTGTCTTCTGTGTCTTGAGTGATTCATTGAACAGATGGTTTCAGTAATTAATTTAAAGCATCATCACACAGGCAGTGTTGCAATCACTGAGGAAACAGTAGTGGAAAAGAAAAACGTGGATGGGGGTTCTGTCCCACCTGGCCCCATAGCTGTTTAGCCCCAAATAAACACACAGAGACTTATATTAACTATAAACCGTTTTATGGCTTATGGCTCAGGCTTCTTACTGACTAGCTCTCTCTCTCTCTCTCTCTCTCTCTTGTTTTTTGCTTTTTGTTTTTTGAGGCTGTCGGTCCAGCCCGGCCTCGAACTCACAGAGATCCGCCTGCCTCTGCCTTCCAAGTGCTGGGATTAAAGGCATGTGCCACTACTGCCCAGCTAGCTGTCTCTTAATTATTAACCCATAACTGTTAATCTGTGTATTTCTACATGGCCTTATCTAACCAGAGAATGCCGTGTCCTATCTTCCCAGCTGCTACATCACGTCTCCTCCCTCCGTCCTCTCCCCAGAATTTTCCTCATGTGGTAGCCCTGCCTATACCTCCTGCCTGGCTACTGGCCAATCAGTGTTTTATTCATCAACATATATATATATATATACACACACACACACATACATATATATAATGTATATGTACATCCATAAACAAAAGGACATCCCCCATCAGAAAAAGACCCCCATTTGCATGTAGTTTCTTAGTTTCCTTTGCCCGGAATGAGTAGTCAGCCCCTTCCCCTGCTACTTCTTACAGCATCTTATTTTTGTCTTTTTTTTAAAGTTGTATTTCTATTTGTGTGTATTGTATGTGTCTAAGTGTATGTATGCATACATATAACTCATGTATTATATGAGTCTGTGTGTATGTATGCACACATGTAACAGAAGCTAGGTTATATATTGACATCTAGATGACTAGATTTTTAATATAATAATCGCCTGACAAGTTAATATGAAAAAGGTCAAAACTGCAACTGAAAAGGGAGAAAAGGATTTTGAGCTATGCAAGAAAAGGAAAGGGAAATATAATTGGAACTTCAGGCTGGAAAGATACTAGAAATTCACAAAAACTTAAAACACCACTGACAAATGAATGGACTGTCTCTGGAGTGACAGATACTCTTCCACATGGAGGGTAAGTGTGTGGATGGTTGCAATACTAAGGTAATACTTTGGCAGTCTATCCAGTTGCATTGTAATTCCACACGACAATTCCAGTTCTTAGATTTTTTTTTGGGTATGGGACATATAAGGGTAAATGGTTCACACTCAATGTGTTTTATTGGAAACTTTATTTCAATAAAATTCTTGTCTATAATATTACTTAATGACCATAGTTCGGCCATCCCATGTAGTACTTTGCATTTCTTGCATTTTCCATACTTATCTAACCTAGGGAGAGGCCTTGAGAGTCTTGCATGCTCCATGGGTTTCCTGAGTCTGTGAAGTTTCTGGTGAGTTTCAGGAGCCTGATGGCATCCCTGCTCCCTCCAGCAGGGTTGTTTCATTCCCAAGGAACAGCTGCATATCACCAGGTTCCCAGATTTATTCATAACTAAATCATATGTATTCATTGTAACTGTAGCACTCAGGGAAATGCTTAATGAAACATGGAAGGAAAACAGGAAAGAGGAAGTGTCTGGCACACAGTAGGCTCTTGATTCATATCTGTGAGTTGGGGAATGGAGAGAGTTCCTGGCACACAGTAGGCTCTTGATTCATATCAGTGAGCTGATGTAATGAGTGCTGGAGAGAAGACAGGCTGTCCTGTTCCCTCCTCCACACATAGGCACACTCATGAAGACTCTGGGACCAAGATCAGGAATCTTTTCTCAATACAGCCAGTATCTACCAAATAGAGTTGTGTTGCTTCAAAGCGTAGCTAACAACAATCTTGCCATTGTCTGTGAGACTACTTGTGGGATTACAGAGGAAAGGCTGGAGGACCCAGAAGCCTTGTGGACTCGGGCCAAGGAGAATACAGGATGCACTTGCACTAGAGAATGCTTCTTTGTGGGTCATTAAACTCCTCTCTGTTCCTCCCTGTTAGACATGTGCCTGCTGTGCCCTGCAGAGCCACGATATCCAGAAGTGGCAGAGTCAGGCGGAAGTAAAAACAATTCACTTCAGCCTCTAAATGACGTGCCCCTAATTCAAAATAAATCTGTGGCAGTCGACAGATACTCCTCTCTGATGCTTCTGGAGAAAGGCTGGACTTGTCCTAGTAAAATCAGACACAGGCTTCATTATTTTTAGTCGTGTTAAAAGAAGTTGCCATAGCAACAACACCATCATCTAGGACAAATGTTATCTCTTTGAGTCAGTAACACTAAGAGCTGTCCCACAAATACCTAGTGTTGTCAGAAGAAGAAATGACTTTCCAATAAAACTAATTTCTAAGTCTTCACTATTAATCTTCATTTGTGAACCTAGAAGTTCCCTTCCTCACAAATAAGAGATAGGAAAAGCAATATACAACTTTGTAAGGGCCAAGGATGACCTGCGTTATATCTGTTTGTAAGAAAGTGATTGGTTCTATTAGTTCCTTAAAATATGTAATTTCATTTGTGGCCTTTAAATCAGCCACAGGAGGCGTGGCAGTAATTAATTTGACCCTTGGGCAGAGTATGTGTGTTCTGAGAGGACAGCAGGGGAGACACACTGCAGCGTGGATGCTTCTGACCTCTTAGGATGTCTTTTTAAGTGACAGAGGAGGCAGCTTGGTCCCTGTGGAGCAGGATGGACACTCAGAACTCGCTGTCTGGCCTAGCCTGCTCAACTATTCATGTAGACCTCCAATAGGCTGACTTTTCTAACTATGATTAATTGGACCTTAAGAGTTAAATGTATCCTTCAATCTTTCCTTCTTGGGCTGAAAAAGCATATAATTACTGTGTCAGATCAAAGCAACATGGGTTGACTGGGAGAGGGGAGTTAAGCTCCCCCTTGCCCTAGGATTCTGGTTCTGATTGCTGCTAAGACCTCATAGCTTTCCCAAAGAATTGTGTCTTAGACTCCTTTGCACCCACTCCTGTGCTATTTAATAGCTTTGAAATCAGGACATGCCTAATATTTCTTGGCATGGCGCAGTATTTTATTGGCAGTTTTTAATTTCTTGGTGGTACATGATGCATTTCCCCAGAAGGAAAGGGAAGTGACATCCGCTGCCTACACACCAAGTAGCAAGCGCAGTGAAAAGCAATGCAGAGGCATAATTTGATTGAATCTTTAAAAAATATTTATTCTATTTTTTATGTGTGTGAATGTTTGTCTGTCTGTATGTATACACCATGTGTCTGCCTGATGCCAGAAGATCCACAGATGGGCGAGTTTCCAAAGGAAGAGGGCATTATGATTTACAGTTCTAGAAACACAAAATTAAGGGGCTGCATCTGGTGATGGCCTTTTCAGTGACAAGAGTCCTGGGATGACAGAGCACCCCAGGGCCAGAGGCAGGTGTTCACATGCAGGTGTGTGCCTTCTGGGTTTTCCCTCTTCCTATGAAGCTGGTATGATTTAAGCCTGGGGTCTCCATGCTGGCAACATTATCTAACACTTCCCTAGTCTCCTCGTCTTCCTTCCCTCCTCATCTTCTTTTTTTTTTCAGAATCGTACCGTTTATAAAGCAAGAAAGTTATTATACTCTAAATCCATCACGTCACAGATGACATCACAGAGGTTCCATGAGGGGTTGGGAGGCATCTAAAAATATGTATTTATTTTTATCTTATGTGTATGGGTATTTTGCCTGCATGTGTGTTTGTGTACCATGTTCATACCTGGTGCCCAAAGAGGCAAGAAGAGGACACTGGACCATCCGGAACTAGAGTTACAGGTGAGCCACTATAAGGGTGCTGGAAACCAAATCTAGATCTGCTGCGAGCGTAGCAAGTGCTCTTAACCACTGAGCCAAGTCTCCAGTCCACTTGCTTGTTTGGGTTTTCAACACTGCATTTCTGGTTCCTTCTATGAACTAGGCAATACAATGAATTTAGTGAATGAGCCAGATGAGGCCCTTGCCTTCATAGATGTTATAAGTAAATAAAAAAATCAACCGTAAACATACAAACAAAGAATGCAGTCGTGTTGGCTGGCAGGTGCCTGTATTGAGTATATGGTTGCCTTGGGAACACGCTGGACTGACTAGTGAGGGCTGTTTACCCCTGACCTCCTCTTTCTGTTTATCTTAAAGAACATGGTGCTCCAGCCACTCTCAGGCATTGTTTCTCAAACAATGTGGAGCACGTGGAGTTCTGGGGTCTTGAGAGAGACCGATCTGAAGTCACCGACATCTGGTTCTGGAAACAGAAAGCCAACAAAGAGTTAAAGCCAGAAGTGTCCATCATCCTAAAGGTTGAAGTCGCTTGAGGAGACAGTTGTGCAGTTCCCAGCGTCCTTTGATTTGCATTTCCCTGATTGCTAAGGAGGTGAGGCATCTCCACATACACTCCTGCATCCTTTGATTTGCATTTCCCTGATTACTAAGGAGGTGATGCGTCTCCACATACACTCCTGGCTGTTTGGGTTTCCTGGGCTGCTTGCTCATGACTGTCACTTTTTCTTTTCTGCACAGGAAGAGTCAGGCATCGATCTGTGCCTCACAGCACAATGCATCAGGCATTGCTGTAAAGCCTGGGGAGACCCACGCCTACCCTGTGAGAAGCCGAGATGCTGTGACATGTTAGAGACCCACACTACAAAATGCCATCAAAACATTGCTCAAAAATAGGGCGACACATGTGAAAGTGTGCTGAGAACTCCAGCGTACCAGATGATCACCCCCACTTCTTTTTAAAAAGTCAATTAAAAAACTTTTGAGCATTTCATACATGAGTATTGTATTTACAAGATTTCACCCCTCCCATTTCCCCTCCAAGTCCTCCTGTGTTTCCCTCCCACAAATTTATGGTCTCTTCCTCTTTAATTAGGTATTGTTACACTTACACACATACACATGTGTGTGTGTGTGTACATAACCTATGAGTCCATTTAATGTTACTCCGATGCACGTGTTTAAGGATAACCACGTGGGACTAGATAACCTATCAGGGAGCTCATCCCTGGAGAAAACTGATTTTTTTCCTCTTTCTCAGCAGCCACTGGCTTTCTGTAACTCTTGATCTAGGAGGGGGCATTGTGAGATTTCCCCCATTCATGCTGTCATATCATCCGGTGTTGTCATTATGTAGATCTTGTTTAGACAGCCACATTGTTGAGATTTCATGGATGCCCCTTACCTGTTGTGTTTAGAAAACATTATCATGCAGCAGGCATCCTGGGTCTTACACACTTTCTGCCCTTCCTCCACAATTTTTCCTGAGCCTTAGATTCAGGGATTATATTGTAGGTGTACTAGCAGAGATAAGGCACCCCACAGTCACTTACTCTCTGCATTTTGACTATTTGTAGATCTCTGTAGAAGCTTATTTGATGAGAGCTATACTTACTTGTGGGTATAAGGAAAAGTACTTAGAATACAGTTAGAAACTATGTTGGTTTAAGAAAATGGTACTAGAAAAAAGAGAAAGAAAATGGTACTAGTAGGTTCTCCTCTAGGCTTCATGAGCTCCACAATCATGGGTAGTTGGCTGGGTTTACAGTCCCAGGTATGAATTTCTTTCTGTGGTGGTTTGAAAGAAAATGTCCCCCATAGGCAGTGGCACTGTTAGGAGGTATGACCTTATTGGGGTAGAAGTGGCCTTGTTGGAGGAAGTATATCACTGTAGTGGTAGTCTTTGATGTTTCTTTTGCTCAAGCTACAGTCAGTGTGATACACACAGTTGCTTTGGCTGCCTGAGGATCAAGATGTAGAATTCTCAGTTCCTTCTCCAGCACATGTCTGCCTGTATGTCTTCATGGCCACCCGCCATGATAATGAACTAAACTTCTGAACCATAAGCCACCCCATTAAATGTTTTCCTTTATAAAAGTTGCTGTGGTCATGGTGTCTCTTTTCAGAAATAGAAACCCTAAGACATCTCCTATTGAGTCTAATAAGACAGCTGTTGGTTATCCCCCAAGATAAAAGTGCATTATCAAACCATTAGGGATATCTTGCTGTACTGATCATTGTTTTGGTTTGTTTTGTAGACTCTAAATCAGGGTAGGAATCCTGATTGTTTTTTCTTCCTCTGAAGCTTACAACATATCTTCTGGTACTATGAGATATGCTATAGTTGCTTTATGCATTAATCATGTGACCAGCATTTGGGCTGCTTTCACATCTTGACTGTTGTAAAGAATGCCATACTAAGCAGGGCACTCTGTTGTATGATGACTTTGATTCTCAAGGGTGGTGTGGTTGGATCACATGGTAGTTCTGTTCTGTAGCTTTTTAAGAAATCTTTGTACTGACCTCCATAGTGTCTGAACTAATTTATATTCTAGACACATGTTTTTCTCTACATGTTCATGTTTATTGTTTTCCTGGTGATGACCAAGATGACTGTGATAAGAGAATTTCAGTATAGTTTTGATTTGTTTTTGCCCATTGGCTAAAGATATTAAGGATTATTTTCATGTGTTTATTGGCCATTTGTACCTCTTCTGTGAAGTATCTATTTAGATTATTCAATCATTTATTAATATTATGTGTTATTTTTTTTTGAGTTCTTAATATATTCTGGATGCTAGTCCTCTGTCAGGTAGATGCTGGCTAAGATTTTTCTTCCATTCTGTAGGCTATCCATTTGTTCTGCCAAGAATTTTCTTGGCTGTGAAAAAAGAAAGCTTTTGAAGTTTTTCAATTCCTTTTACTGTTCTTGCTTTTATTTCTTGAGCTCTGTAAGTCCTCTTAGAAAATCACCCAGGTCAACATCTTAATGTTTCTCCTTGTTTTTGTAGTATGAAATTTTCTGGTCTTATATTAGCACTTGAATCCACTTTGAATTGATTTGTTTCTACAGGTTGAGAGATAGGGATCTAGTCTCAGTTTTCCACATGTGGGTATTAAACTTTGCCATCAGTTTTGCTAGTGGGCTATGTTTTCATGACCTTATGTTTTTGGCACCTTGATTGACAACTGGCTGAAGAAAGGTGGTTTATCTCTATATCCTGTACTCCGTTGATACATGTATTTGCTTTTATGGCTATACTAGGCTGTTATTTTTTTTAAAACTATGACTCGCTACACCTTTGTAATATCTTCAGCATTTCTCATTTTGCTCAGAACTGTTCTGGATGCTTCCAAAGGCTCCAGTTCTAACCACCATAGTTAGTTGGATTAAGTTTATACCCTCTTATTAACCTCACCATGGGGACAAAATTTCAACATGTGAACCCTTGGGGAGACACACATTTAAAACTATCTAGATGATAGTCCCCTCATCTCCTGTCTATCTCATAGCCTCTAAGGAACATGAACAATGTAAGTCATTTTCCAAGGTGACAGTAATCTATGTTAAGATGGAAATAGAACCAAGTTAGGGAAGATGCTGGGCGCCTGTGGCTGGAAGACATGACCTACATCTTGGTGTGCTGCCTCTTCAGAGTGTCTTCAGTGGTGGAACCTCAAGGTAGGGGGAAGGGAAGATGGTAGAGGCCTAGATATTCCAGAAGACCCAGGGCTCTATGGTTGCCTTTGAAGTCACATTCCCAACCCGACTCTGTCCTTGCAGAGGCATGTGGCACAGTAGAGTGTCAGGATGGTAAAAGTTGACAGTCAACTACCACCCTGCTTTTCTGCCCCCTCTCCTTGGATTGCTTATAGTTACCTTAACATGGCACCCCAGGCAGCCATTTCTGTTGGCCATACTTGTTCAGGGTGTCTAGAGATGCCAGCTTGCCACCCCTTGTCTCGATGAAGGCTGCAGAAGTAGGCAATTAAAAAGTGACAGGGCCTACATTTCCTTACATGTAAAAAGGAGACAATGAGAACTCTTTACAGTATTGTTGAAGAGCTGAGGACAATGCATGCTACTGTCCAGCAGGTTCCCTGATCAGGTGATATATTGATGGATTCGCTAATTGTTGTTATGTGTTCTGGAAGTGCAAACCTTTAACAAAGCTGTATTTGTTTTAGAAATCTTTCTGTGCAGAAAATGCTTTAATTTCTTTATTTTGTGTCACCAGCTATCTAATAAGCATCTTAAATGTCTCAGGGTATGTAGTGATCTGCTGTGAAATGTAAGCTCCTGAGGGCACAGATGTCTGCTTCATTTACATTTCAGAACACCCAGAAAAAGGCCAGGAACAAGGAGCTTTCTAATCCATTTGTGCTACCATTGTAGAATGGAATATGAACCATGTCCCATGCTCATAAGGACTGTGCTGCTGTAAGACCGGAATCCAAGACTTTTCACTAAAACATCATTGACTGTCCATCTATGCAATACACATGATAATTGTTTGTTTATTTTAATTTTAAAATCATAATACTAGATCACTTTTTAAAATAAAAATCTGACCTCTATTACAAAAAATAATTCCCCAAGACATGTTGAAAAAAAAAGTCTTTAATTCCCATGTATGAAGCTAATCATTTCCAGTATCTCTGTATTTTGCCTGTGTGATTCATTTAAAGATTACTAGTTAAATGATCTTTAAGACTTTCGAATTTTCTTTCCCTCTGTCGGTAGTGATGCCATGTTGTTTCCAAGTAAGAATTATTGTCTTGCTGTTTTTCAACACTGTAAGTGCAAGGAAAGGACTTGCCGGAAGTTGCTAGTGGCTTTTCTGTCTCAAAGGCAAGCCATGGTTACGAAGAAGGAAACTTTGATCCATCTTGTCTCAGTGCTCTTGTTCTCTCAGAACCAGGTGAACCACCTCTGCTTGTCTCCTCAGGATTATGTCACCCACCAAGGCAACTTTCTGTTTCATTCAGTGATGTCAAGAAACAAAACACCACCCTTGAAGTGAATCAGTTTTGGAAAATAGAGACTGGCTTTATATTCCACGGCTTTGATGTGCTTAGTTGTTCCTGTAAGAATCGGCCTCTCTTTTGCTGTGATTGACAAGACCTTCCCTATATATTGGAGTAATCAGGCAGCCTGATAACAGAAGGGAGACACACTCACCCAGAGCAAACTTCTCCCACTCACCTCAACTTTTGAAAGAAGAGTTGACACCAGCAAGATCAGGTAAGAACCTCTCTTATTTCCTTCCTCCTCAGGGGAAGCCCACAAAGACCACACGACAGAGTTCACCACAGTGTCTACCAGCAAGACCTTCCAGAGCAGCTTTAGAAATGTAACTCCCCCCCAGTGGCACTGACCTGGGGGCATTCTAGAAATGTGATGTCCAGGTGTGCTCTGTTCAGTGGGCCAGCCATGAAGGGCCCATTATGTGCTACTAAAGCAACAGAAAGGACCTAGAACCAGAGAGGACAGACTCCATAGCAGACTGTGACTAGTTTTCCATCATTTGCTTCTAAACTGACTCCCACTAGGGCCTTTGCACAGCAGAAGCATAGAGCAGATGTGACCTGTGATTAGTAGAACACATTTTATGAGTGACTACCATGCTAGGTACCAGGTTTGTATCTTCTGCATGGTAGACTGGGTTAGTAACAGCACACCAGGATATGCCATTAATAATACTCGCCTACTTCCCCCATTCATTTTCCATCCATGACACTAAAAATACAAATGTATGCAAAGCTTCTAACATGACACATACATACCCTGAACCTGGATAAAAACTGGTGTGTGTATTTGTATATTGTTTATATATTGTATATTGTCGTACACTGTATATTCTTTTGGTGTTACTCTTGTTTTTTACTGGGATAAATTCCTTTTACATACAAGTCAGCTCTAGGAGTTGGAGTTCACCAAGGAAAAGCATGAGACTGTGTTTAGGTAGAGAAAGCTACTGACTATTTACTGGACCTAGTTAGGGAGTTGGAGTTGGAGAAGTCCTTGGCTCATTTTTTTCCCTTGTAATGCTAAGGGCAAGATCTCTTTGAGAGTGACCAACACATTGTGTTCTGCACCACTGTGAGCAGTTGGGTATGTTCATCTTTGTTTCCTTTACCTCCTTGGGAATAGCATGAAGCTGGCATACCTTGTCCTTGGTACCATGACCCTCCTTCTTCTGGGTGGCTATGACTCTGTCCTCAGCACTTCCAGTGGGAACCTGCACACTTTTGTGGGCTGTGCTGTGAGGGAGTTCACTTTCCTGGCCAAGAAGCCAGGCTGCAGAGGACTTCGGATCACCACTGATGCTTGCTGGGGCCGTTGCGAGACCTGGGAGGTAAGGAGCCCAACAGGCTTGGATGGCAGTGTCCTCAGGGCCAACTCCTTGAGTTCAAGTGTCCACTGTTTTGTCATTGAGGGGAAGCTGACATGTCTGCTCTGTCCTCTGGACTTTACAAACCCAATCACACTTATTTGGTTTTTCCAAATGATCTGAAAACCATGATGGTGCTCCTCTCTGGTGAGGTTGGGCATGTCATTCCCACAGTTCTGCATGTTTAGGAGCCATCTCTAGGAGGTCAGGAGCTTCTGTTTACCCACTGTAAAGATCACAGGGGAGGGACCAAGGGGGAGTGACTGCAAAGTCAGAGGGAGTCAGTGCAAAATCGAAAATAAATTATTGGTCCAAACCTTTGACCCTATCTCCTTCCTATTCTTTCTCAGCTGTGAGGAAGTCAGGCAGTTACTCAAAAGAACCTGGAAGCTGTAAGCCTAGGTCTAGGCTCTGCCACAGCCCCTTCCCTTCACTTCAGGGTTAGATACATTCAGTCCATTTATACTCAGTTATGTCTGACCTTTCACTGAGAATGGGCATACAAATCTCAAAGCTGGCTGAACTGGGGAGTGAGTTCATGATGACAGGCTACACTGACCTCTTGCTAAAAGTAGTGATCTCTCTTGACCTGGGCTTCAAGATGCCAGGTTTAACAAAGTCAAAGCCAAACCAATCGCTCCCCCTGCAAGCCAAACAAACAAAAACCCCACCAACCCCTTCCACCTCAAACCCCACAATCTGAAGAGAAGTCAAATTTAAAAATAATTAGGGAACTCAAATAACTTGAATTTCAGATCAATTATACTTTATTATTATTTTTGGCATAAGTCTGCACCAAATATTGCATGGGACAGATTTACAAAATTAAAAAAGAGTTTGAAATACAAAGTTAACTGAGTACCTGATTTTTCTAAAATCCAGAATACCGAGAGTTAAAGGACACAGCATAGAGAGGAACTGAGCTCCTCTACCTGGTCTTTGTGAGGAAAGGGCACTATTTTTTATAACATTGAGGCAATGACGGCATCTTGAGTTGGCCTGCCTGTGGTCTACAGGTGTACGTAAATATTTGCCTGTGCATGTATGTACTTACACATGTATACATGTATGCATCATCTATCTATCTACCTACCTATCTATCTTATCTATCTATCTATCTATCTATCTATCTATCTATCTATCTACCTATCTATCTACCTACCTATCTATCTATCTACCTATCTATCTGTTTCTATGTACGCGTGTGTATATATATCTGTGTATGTATGTATATCTACATATGTGTACCTGTGTATGTATGTATATCTACATATGTATGTACCTGTGTATGTATGTATATCTACATATGTATGTACCTGTGTATGTATGTATATCTACATATGTATGTACCTGTGTATGTATGTATATCTACATATGTATGTACCTGTGTATGTATGTATATCTACATATGTATGTACCTGTGTATGTATGCATATCTACATATGTATGTACCTGTGTATGTATGTATATCTACATATGTGTACCTGTGTATGGGTGCATGCATTATCTATCTAATCTCTCTAGTTAGCCTTTTTTACTTATTTTTTTGCTCAGAACAAAGGGACGGTCCTCTGAAAGATTGTTGTTCCATCCATTAGTACACCCTTATAATTGCACTAGTTAGAGTCATTGAACTCTGACCTTTATCCAGGGCTTGTGCACTGCGCACATCACCTCATCTAGCTCCATGGCAGTGCCATCAGGCAGGTGTTTTGCTTCATAGACAGGAAACCAGGGCTTGAGAGAGTTAAGAGCTTTCCCTCAGTCTCCAGCCGTGGCAAAGCAGGCATGCACAGCAGGGCTGCCTGTGGGCGTCAGGTTCACACAGCTGATCTCTGTACTTTCTCTAAAACATTACCTGCGCATTCAAGGTTTAGAAAAGGCTGAGGGAGGGCATGAGCAAACCCTCCAGTCATCAGGACAGAGTGCTCAGGAGGCTGCCTGGCTCTGCTGTCTTGTTGATTCAGTAACAAGCAGTTATTGTGAACCTCCTGGGCACCAGGCTGCCCGGGTACTGGAGCACAGTGGCTGGCCCAATGGAGCCTGCTCTCTACATGAGAACAATGCCACACAAAAGCAAGATACAAAATACGGCATGTGGGATGGGCAAGCACAGCACAGCAACCCTGAAACCAAAAGCTAACAGGAAGAGGGAAGGAAGGGAGTTGAGGTGGGTTGAAGTAATTGAAAATAGGGTCAGGATATGCTTCTCCAGATCGGTTGACATTTGAACAAAGTCCTTAGTTGGTAAAGGGGAGAGGTGCGTGCGTGCGTGCGTGCGTGCGTGCGTGCGTGCGTGTGTGTGTGTGTGTGTGTGTGTGTGTGTGTGTGTATGTGTGTGTGTGTGTGCTGGGCAGAGGGGCCAGCAGATTCAAGGACTCTCAGTGCCAGCTGATCTTAAGGAGGATGGCGACCTCTGTGACAGGAGACTGGAGAGCAGATGGGCAAGGTCAGGACTGTAGACCACATCGGCAATAAAAGACAGGCAGAAAATGCAAGGACCTGAGAAGAATCCTAATGTCTACTATTTTAAGCCTGAGTGAGACGGGAAATTACTGGGGCTTTGAGCAGAGGTGGGCCATGAATGCCTTATGTTTTAAAAGGCTCACTTGTGTTGTAAACAGACTGTAGGGGGAAAATGGTGGCAGAGGGGAGACCAGTTATTCATTGGGTAAATATTTACCAAGTGCTTCCTGTGTTTCCTGGACTTTCATGGAAGCTCAGGATATGGTAGTTAGCAAACCGGCTTCCTGCTTCCAGGAGTTTATTCCTGGTGGGAGGAGTCAGAGCCTAAATAAACAACTAGTGATGGATGGCATCAAGAACAGGAAGCTGGCTGCCACATTCTAATGGGTTTCCTGTTTTCTACCTTGGGGACAGAAACCCATCCTGGAGCCTCCCTACATTGAAGCCCATCACCGAGTCTGTACCTACAATGAGACCAAACAGGTGACAGTCAAGCTGCCTAACTGTGCTCCTGGAGTCGACCCCTTCTACACCTACCCGATGGCTGTCCGGTGTGACTGCGGGGCATGTTCCACTGCCACCACTGAGTGTGAAACTACCTGAAGCCAGCATAGTCTTCAGAACACAGCTGTGGGCCGGAGCCTTGCAAATCCGCTTACCCCGCCAATGTATCTGCTCTATCCTTTGCATTCAAGTATGTTTCAACTTGGGCCAGCCCATTACCTGCCTGGTTCAGGTCTTCCTCTGCTCATTTTACTCAGGAGGTCCAAGTGTAGTACACTCACGCTAAAAATATCAAACACTATTGACTCTTCCCCAGGATAATGTCTCTGGTTCATATGTCTGTAAGTTAGGTTTTCTTTGCTTGACTTTTGGAACATGATTTGTGTATTACAACCCTCCCTCAGTTCTGATTGACATAGTGGCATTTATTTAAAGGAATTGGGTATCATTAAGTGACAGAAAGCCTTTAAACTCCCACATTCTACCATTGAACTCCAACTGGATGTATGATTAAAGGGGAAGGTATGATCAAAACCAATGCACTTTCTTCCTTGCTTAAAAGGAAACCCAACTTCAAGTGTTCCTAGAGAGAATGCTCCGTTTCCCTTTCAACAGAGCAATCACCTAGATAAGAGGCAAAGAGAGTCAGGACTGCTCCAGAAAAGGTGTTTAGAAGTGGGTATTCCTCTCCCAAGCAAAAAGTCCCTCCATTCCCTTATGTCCTTACTGAAGAGTGCACTTGCCAATTAAGAAACAAAACTCAGAAAATGCTATTAGAAACTATCATTTAGGTTTACTAGCACCAGAGACTAAATTCACGGCTTGAGTGTTCTCCCACAGCCACAGGGAAGTGACCAGTGACAAATGCCCCCACCTACTTAGTAGATCTTAAATCTGAACAGCAATTTATTAGCCCCAGAATCTTGAGTGTGGAGGTGAGAATGCTGACTCGGAGGAGAGAGGCTGTGAATGTCTGGCTCGTGCTTTTTCTAAAATCTTACGGCAGCTGATTCTGGGACCTTCTTTTTAAACTCCAATTTTATGAAAACGTCTTTAGTATTGGCTTTTGGTAGTTTGGGTTAACTTGGTTCTTTTTTAGAATATTAGAATATGCCAGGAGCATCTACACTGATGTCAATAGAGTGTGTTCCCTGTCATCTGAATTCATGCCAACTTTTAGGAAAGTCTTTGTTTTTATTTTGCTTGGTATAGAAATAAAGGCACTTGGAGCTTTGAGGTTCTTTTGATTGAAGCATTCATTTGGGGTTTCATATTTAATAAGGGACGCAGATGACTTGTGGTAGCATGAGTCCCTGAAGTTCTGTCATCTGTAGCCTCTGTCGGATCCAAACTGGGAGCCATGAGTGCACTCTTGAAGGAAGAATTACTGAATCCATGAAAATCTACAGAGCAAAGGTTGAGACTAGTGATCAAGCCCTGTGATGCTGGGGTGAATGTCTGGGGACAAAGGATTCGAGCAAAAGCCACCCCAGCCTATAGCAGCAGATGTGTTGGTAGGAGAGGAAGTCACTGCATATAAAGCCACTCAGTGGCTGTGGTCTCTGCTGGGATTGTGTGCTGCTTATGAATGGCTCAGGGGATTCCTTCCATATCAAGGAGCCTTCCTCTGGGTTTTCTGGGGGCAATCCTCTGGCCAGAGTTTCAGGAAAGATGGGCACAGCATTAGTAACGACTCTGGCAGTAAATAATTTGACCAGAGTTAAAGAAACCAACAAGGAGAGGTGACACACTTGTTCTTTGGAAGTAGTGAGCAACCTTAGGGCGCTGGGAAGGGAAAGGATGTGATTATCAAAACCAAGGCAAATACAGGAGAGGAGCCAGTGTCCAGCAGGAGCTGTGGTCATTAGTAGGATGCCGCAGCTGTTTGCCAAACTGAGGCATAGGAAGGGTGGGGGGTAACTCAACTTACTTGCTTTCCATACCCTTGAATCAAATGGTAATCATATTGGAGGGCAGAGACTGAGGGACCCATTGATTTGGTCCTCCATAAATTCTGGTCTTCTAGGCGGCAAGTTGAAAGAGGGTAAGGAATGGATCTAAGGGCAATGGGAAAGGCCACATGACTTCTGTCTTAGGCCTTTGGGCATGGTGTGGAAACTGAATTTGAAGAGGCAGAGGTGAAGACCAGACCCATGATCTAACCAGGAGGACAGTCCAGTCATTTCCAAGACTGACTCTGCTACTACTATGGCTCTTCTGTTCTTACTCGTGGTCCTAATAGGAAGGGGAGAGACACAGAGGCCGAGAGTGGCAACAAGCAGGTGGATACAATTGATGACCTCCTGCAGAGGGCCCCATTGGCTCCTGCTTGTCAGAGGAGAGCAGACTCTGCTAGCTGGAAGACACAGGGAGGACCTAAGATGGCTGTTGTCTGATTGTAATTGTATTCTCAACTAGTGTTCACCATGATTCCTGTAGTTTAATACTTCTGCCTCTGCCTCCTAAGTGTTGGGGTTTAGACGTGTGCCATCCCACTCATTTTTTTTTGTGGTACTGGAGGGCCTTGTGCCAGTTAGGCAAATACTTTGTCAAATGAGCTGCCACCCAGTCCCTACAAACCCATATATTCCAGATGGTAAATGCAGGAGAGACTTGCTTTCTGGCAGGGAGGAATGCGGGTTTTTATTGAAGGAGCTACTGGATAATGCAAACCAGAGGAATGGGTGGAAGGTTCTTGGGGATGGGTGTGGGGTGGGCAGAGGCTGAGAATACAGCCACAGGGAGGAGCATTCAGGATGTGAGCGTGGAAGAATAGTAAGTTTGTCTTAGTGTGCTGTTGGCATGACCCCTGCAAGCTTGGGTGAAACTATGGCTTCTATCAGTGAAGAGGAGAGGCTTTAACTACGCTGACAGAATACCAAGGAACCAAAGATAAGCACAGGATGGGTTATTCCATAGGACCAGTCACCCACCAGCTGTCTGTGTTCACCTGAGCGGTTCCGAAGACACCCTCTTTATCCAAGAAACAAAGGTTGCCTCATTGAAGGGCATGCCTACCTCAGAAGAGTTCCATCCCTACTGTAGGCCTGGGGATGCTTCCATGGAACTGGGCTTCTAGGTGTCAGCAGAGGGGACAGGGCTTTGCAGAGACCAGATGGTGACATATAGCTATGAGAGTCAAGGAGGACATTACTACCTACCATGGCAGACAACAGAGCTACAACAGTGACTAGAGGCCTATGACCTGCAGTCACAGGGATAAAAATTGCTTTGTGAGAGGTCTTTCTTTGAACCTTCAGCTCACTTGTTAGGCTAGGCTGGCTGGTCAGTGGGAGCCAGGTTTTCTCTTGTCTCTTGTCTCTTGTCTCTCCAGAGCTGGGAGTACAAACATGTGCTACCAAGCCTCGTTTTTTTTTTTTTTTTTTTTTTGCTGGTGTTTGTGGGTTCTGGGGGTTGAACTCGGGTCTTCGTGCTGGCAAGGCAAACACCTGACTGAATCATCTCCCTCATCTTACTTCTTTAGTCTGTGTCAACCACACTACTAGTTATTGTTAGTATCATTTTACCATTGCTGTCTTATGGATGATAAAGCTAAAAAGCCAACACAGGCCCACTCACTTGTCCACCCTAACACAGCTAATAAGCCACACGTGTCTGGCATGGTGGCATGGAGGTTTAAATAGGTGTGGTCCCAAAGTTACACATGTTTGAATGCTTGACCATAGGGAGTGGCACTATTAGGAGGTGTGGCCTTGTTGGAGCATGTGTGACCTTGTTGGAGGAAGTATGTCACTGTGGGCATGGGCTTTGAGGTCTCCTATGCTCAAGCTATACTCAGTGTGATACACAGTCTCCTTGTGCTGCCTGAGGATCAAAATGTAGAATTCTCAGTTCCTTCTCCAGTACCATGTCTGCCTGCGTGCTGCCGTGCTACTCATCCTGATGATAATGGACTAAACCCCTGAAACTGTAAGCCTCCCCAATTAGATGTTTTCCTTTATAAGAGTTGCCATGGTCATGATGTCTCTTCACAGCAATGGAAACCCTAACTGAGACACCTGGATTCTCTGACTCAGATCAACCATGTTCTACTGAGGCATGATGCCTTTGGGAATGTTTCTTCCCAGTCATTCCTGGTTTGTGCAGACAGAGTTGATGGATGTCAGACTGCTCATTAGCACTTTCTGTCTTTCCTGGAGGCTGGGTCACCCTTTGGAGACTGGAGAATTCACCTGGTTTCCCGTGTCACCTCAGGAAAAGGATGGTTTCTGTAGCATAGACCAAATTTTACTAGAGAAGTGTCTGAGGGAGGAAGGAAGCCATGCCACAGCAGAAGGTGAAATGAAACTAGAGGTGAGGGTTATGGCTTTGCATTGGTTTCCTAGGTGATGTAAAAATGGATGCTGGGGATGGTGGTCCAGGGCCTCCCAGACCAGCTCTTGATAAATGGCTGCTCAACAGTTCCTTACTTAGAAATACATTTATTTTGTTGTTAATGAAAGGTAAAGAGTAGGGGAAGTTTTTCACTATAAAGTAGTTTTGATTGGGGAACGTAAATCCTCTTCTTTCCCTTCCAGGATCTCTCTCTGTGAGATAGACTCTCAAGCAGCCCAGGATGGCCTCCCTGTGTAGCGAATAATAATCTTGAATTCCTGATCCTCCTGTCTCTACTTCCTGTGTACCTGGATTACAGGCATCATGCTGGGTTCATATGAAGATGTAAACCTTCACAGCCCACTTCGTTTCTGGCTTCGTTACGTTTATTGGTTGAAGCAGTGATTCATGTTTCTCCTCTTCCTCAAGACATTAGGAAAGTACTAAGTTCTTCTGTGATGGTCCAATTAGTTCATCAGATTGATTATGTTTTCAACCAATAAAATGATTTTATAGACAACGAACTATTTATCCAATTGAAAAATAATGCACATTGATAAAAATAAATTGTATCTCATAAAGTTTTTTTTTGTTTGTTTTGATTTTTAGAGACAGGGTTTCTATGTGTAGCTTTGTAGACCAGGCTGGCCTCGAACTCACATAGATCCGCCTGCCTCTTCCTCCCGAGTGCTGGGATTAAAGGTGTCTACCACCACCACCTGTCATATTTCATAAACTTTTTCATGAGGCCTGCTTGTCTTACTTATTCAAGAAATATTTATTTCAAAATTATGTGCTCCTAGGGCAAGGAATGGTGGCATATACCTATCATCTCAGGACTCAGCAGACTGAGGCAGGAGGATCAAGAGTTTGAAGCTGGCCTGGGCTATGTGGTGAGATCCTATTAAAAAAACAACAAAATAAAGAGAGAAAACAAAATACCATATTCCAATCTTTCTTGGTTTTCTACTTCAGAATTTTAAGTAAACTACTAAAAAATCACTTTTAAATCTATTCTTTAACAAATTCTTCAACTTTTACTAAAAAATCACATTACATTTATTTGTGTGAGTGTGTGTGTGTGCGCGCCAGTGCCTTGGAGTGTGTATGGTTGGAGGACAACCCAAGGGTGTTGGTCCTCTCTTACTTTGTGGGTCCCAGGGATTGAACTTGGGCCATCATGTTTTGTGGCAAGCATCCCTACCTGCTGGACCACCTCCCTGCTGAGATTTTTCTCCTAATGGAACATCCATTGGAGCACAAGCCTGCTCCTATTTACATGATGACTCTTCAGGCACTTCTGCTACAGTCATCTCCATTGAGTTTTATGGATGGAATAAACCAGAATGGTGTGTTGGGCAGCCAGGAGGGCTCCATGTCTGGTTGCTGTGATCCTGAAGTGTCTACGGGGGTGTGAAAGCTCTGTGGGCAGGTGCTGTCTCACAGAGTTAGGGAAGGAAGGAGAGAACGAGGGAGCAGGGGCACAGGTCTGTAGTCAGCAATGTGAGGCAGACACTTCCCTATCAGGAAGGATCCTGAGGGGTTAGTGCCGTCATCTTTCCAAGCCTTTACATGAGAGGTAAAGCAAGCCTCCTCTGAACTTGTTGACTTTGTGCTTGACCCCAAGTTCCTTCAGCATGGAAGAGAAGTGAACATGAAGTCCCACCCCACACCAAGAAGATATTAGCAATTGATAACTGCTGGGAGAGGGAAAATTACTTCTTCCAAGGAGTGACATGGGGTTTATCAGTCATACTCCAGGACAGGCCTCATGCTTAGGAGTAACTGGTCAACACTAATGCATGTTTTTGTTTTTAGAAAGAGAAAGAGCTTGGAGTTGGATGAAGAGTGAGGTGGGATCAAATATACTGCATGGATTATCAAAGAATAAATAAAGTCATTATTTAAAAAAGAAGAGCATGCAAGACCTTTCCCAGAAGTCCCCAGACCAGTCAGATAAATGACAGACAATCCCAGAAGACAAAAAAAAAGCCTTGATTTAACAGGGTTATTGATATTGCAGAGCTGCATGTGAACATTGCCTTTTAGTGTTGCTGAATGTAGGGTCACAGTCAGGGAAGAAAAAGTCACAAATGCAAATTACAACCATTTGAGAGAACCATCGTCTCTGAAAACAAACTGTGCATGCAGAATGAAGTATATTGGCAGCTGGGCAGTGTTGGTGCATGCCTTTAGTGCCAGCACTTGGGAGACAGAGGCAGGCAGATCTCTGTGAGTTCAAGGCCAGCCTGGTCTACAAAGCAAGTTCCAGGACATCCAGGGTTGTTACACAGAGAAACCCTGTAAAACAAAAAATATATTGGCATGCTCCAAAGTAATTATCTTTAGGGAATCCACTTGGAGAAGCAAGCATTTGAAGAAGGGTTTGGCCCTGTTCATAGATGTGCTCTTCCTACCGGAAGTGTGTGCTTTTTGGCTTTGCTGTCCACTGTGTGGATAGATGAGCCATCAAGTTAGGTGACCCAAGCTTCCAGGCTGTTCCATTTCCTTTTGGAATATGCTTATCACAATTAAATTATGTGGTGGTGGTGTGGTGGGTGGGGGCGTTAATACATCTGGCATTTAAAAGCACTTTGGAAATGTTTCAGGAGATTTTTGCTCAGCTTTTGGGGCCTGCTTCAGCAAGCTCAAGAGACTGTCATGAGACTTCTCCCCGTGGACACATTAACTGCTCTAAATGAGCAACCAAGTCCAGTAGAAGCGGCCGGCAAACTTCAGCATTATAAGACCAGAGCCAATTCTAGAGCAGAGCCAAAAGGACTAATATTCCGTGAATGTGCTCAGTCAGTTTTGAGGGTGTAAACTTCGAACATGGGAGGAGAAATAAGTAGACTTAGATTAGACCAGGAGGTTTCTCTTCTTCGACATTTGGTTATTTTTGAAGAACCGTATCTATTTAGATGAAGACAGGCTTGCAGAAAGCCTGGCCTGGGATTTTATTTTACTGTCCCAGAAAAGAGATGATAACTCACCAAACAAGGGACGATGAGATGGCTTAGTTGGTAAAGTGTCTACTGTATAGGCATAGGGACCTGAGTTCAGATCTCTAGCACTCAGTTAAAAAGTCAGGAAATTGTGCACCTGTAATCCCCATGCTGGGAAACACACCCAGTCTGTTAGATTGGCCCATAAGCATCTATGTGAGGCATTTGCTTGATCAATGATTGATGTGGAAGGGCCTAGCTCATTGTGGGTGGTGCCACTCCTGGGCTGGTGGTTCTGAGGGTGTATAAGCCTCAGTGTATAGGCTGAACAAGCCATGGAGAGCAAGCCAGTAACTAGCACCCTCCATAGCCTCTGCTCCGGGCTTTTGCTTGTGCTCCTGCCCTGGCTTCCCCTGATGACAGGCTGGAACCTTGTAAGTCATATAAGTCCTTTCTTCCCACCAACTGGTTTTGGCCAGTAGTTTTATCAAAGCAACAGAGAAGCAAAGTAGGACACTTATAAATACCAGAATGACTTCCCGAAGAGAATATTTTAGATTTAGCAGATCTTCCAAGCCAGATGCTGCTTTTCTGCTTGCTTCCAAATATGCTGTTCTTTTACTGCAGCTGGGTGCCTTATGATAAAAAGAGAAGACGCTGACAACCCCCTTTCAACTGGTAAATGAACGATTTAAATATTGACCTGAGAAATACCTACACGACAACATCTGAGAGACCATCTATACTATGACTTCTTCATCATTCAGCTCTATGCTTGGATATAAAGATGATAACGAATCTGGATGCCTCACAGACTGTATGTTCTCATTTTTAATGTACATCTGAATCACTTAGGGTCTTGTTAAAATTCAAGTTCTTGTTCAGTTGCTCTCACCTGGGCCCCAAGATGCTACCGTCTTGACTAGCTACCAAATGATACTGCTGCTGCCAACCCTTGGATCCCATTTTGAGTAGTAAGGAGCTGGACAGTTTCCCCTTGTAGAAAGACACCTTCAGAAGCCAATTTTCATGAGTGGCTGACAGAAATCCCTGATGCCTCCACAAATGAGAGCACAAAGAAAAAAAAAGACCATTTAATGACATGTCAAAAATGTGATACAGATAAACAGTGAGGTTAGAGTACATGAAATAATATTCTACTTATTATGAAACAGGTACAGAAAATAACCATTACATAGGAGACTACAGGAACAGCGGTCTATCAGCGAGTTGGTTGTAAGTCCCTTTACTCTGTGCACCGTGTATAGAAGGAGCAGCTGTTGCAGTTGGGTAATGTCCCTATGTATATTATACATGCTTGCTGCTTACTCAGAGCAAAGGCAATTCTACTGAGCAATGAGAATGCAGAGTTCATTAACATCCTGGCCTGGGGGTCCTGGAGCAGAAAATAATCTGATTTGTTAATGAATGCATCAAAGATGACAGGGAAAGGTGATTTTAGATGCATTTCTATTTACTTCCGAGGATGTATTTATTGTTCTACCTAGAAAGTGTTTCTCTTTCCCCTCCAAAGGTCTAGCAAATCCAAATACTGCCTTGTGGAGGTCACTGAGGTACCAGATCCGCTAGTTCAGGTTCCCTTTCTTCACAGTGCAGCAGATGTCACATTGTCTGTGACACCAATTGGGTTCCATTCAGTAAAGATTCCTCACATGTTAAAACTTTGGGGTTTGAGCCGGGCAGTGGTGGCGCACGCCTTTAATCCCAGCACTCGGGAGGCAGAGGCAGCAGGCGGATCTCTGTGAGTTCGAGGCCAGGCTGGACCGACAGCCTCCGAAACAGAGAAACCCTGTCTCGTAAAACCAAAAGAAAAAAAAAAAAAAAGAAAACAATACAGAGAAACCCTGTCTCGTAAAAATCAAAAAATAAAATAAAATAAAATAAACTTTGGTGTTTGTTGCTAAAGACCACACATTGCTCTGACTTTAGTGCTATGAAGGCTCTGGACAATGCTTCTAATACACAAGCAACCCTCGTCTCGAACATTATAACCCCTCAGCAGTAAAACGCAGGTGGTAATTAAGATTCATCATGCACTGATTATTCTAATTTCTTGGAATGGAACCTTGATGCCAAGGGCTGCTGTTGAACTTATTATATCCCACCCTTTCAAACAGGAGCCAGACCCTGGCTCACTCCTCCCTGAGCCCCTGAGAGACAGGTTAAGACCCTGGTGACTGAGCAGAGAGCTTGGTGTTCCGGTTACTTTTCTGTTTATTACTGGCTACGGAAGCATCATGAATTCTACTGTTTTATCTTACATTTCTGCCCTTATAGCATCTGTGTATATTAATATAATCTTTGTATTTAGGGTTGTCTTTGTGAATGTGAAACAATATCATCTGCATACCTGAGCACAAGCATCGCAGCGTTAGCTTTACCAGGGGTTAGCTCACAAGACTTTCAAGGTTATTTATTTATGCCCATTTCTTGGTGAGTTTCCCTTGACTTTCTGCTACGCAGAAGCAGAGGAAGTAGAAGGTTTCTACCATACTGTGCTGTTAAAGCTGCAAAGAGCACCTATAAAACTCCTAGGGCAGAATTCCGAGTATTACCCCGGGGTTTGCCATGCATGCCCATGACACGCTCTTGACACTCCCAGTCCTCTGTCTTCCCTTGGCCTCCCTACGCTGGGCAGAAGTAAACTCTCCCAAGGGTGAGCAAACCTGTGGTTTGCCCTGTGTTTAGTTGTGACTTCCTCCCTGTTCCCTGAATCTTTCATTTCTCAAAGGGATTACCTCCCTTGGTAAGCAACTCAGCTTTCCTGACCTCTTTTCCTTTCTGTTTCTATTATTCCAGAAAAGATGCTGTTTCTGGATTACAAATACTTGGGAAGCCTTCTCAATGAAGTTGGAGACTCCCAAGAGGGTAGCCAGTCAGTCATCTGTAGCTCTGGCATCTGAACAAGGATGGACGGATTTCAAAACAACATGGAATTTGGTAGATAATGTCAAGCATGACATCAAATGTGTTTTCAAAGCAAAAACTCAACTTCGAGTTTTCATCACACCAGTCTCAGGAATGTTTGCTGAGTGAATGTCAGGTGGCTTCTGTGAATTCCTTTTGAGTGTTACTGTGTAGCCCAGACTGGACTTGAATTCCTTCTGCTTCAGCTTTCTGAGTTCTGAGATTATATGTGTGCACCACAATTCCTAGCTCTATTATATGTCATTTTAAGAAGGTGGCCTTAATTCAGAGATTTCTCCTTCAAGACCCTGAACTTCTTGAGGTTGTTGCTCATAGAAATGTACACCTCAAATAATGACATTTTTGTTGGATACACATTCTGGATTTAGTATTTATTTATTTATGTGTTTATTTATTTTGAGACAGGGTCTCCCTATGTAGCTTGACTGGATGGGAACTTGCCCTGTTGACCAGGCTGGCCTTAAACTAACTGAAATCCTTGTGCCTCTGTCTTCTAAGTGCAGGGATCACAGATATGACCTACCATGCCTGGCTTAGGTTCCTTTTTATTTCCTTCATAAATTGTAGTTATAGTTGTGATTGTTTTCCTTCTGTTTCTTGGTGGTGGTGCAATGAGAACTGTGGATGGCTACATCCATTTGACAGTGCTTCTACAAACCAGAGATCTCCCCAGTAATTCTTTATACATTGTAGCCGTACATGTTATCCTCAAAGTCACAGGACCAAAACCCACTTCCCATTGGAAGTACAGGTTTTGACTTTGCTCCTTTGTAATTCCTACTTTAGGTTGTGTTAGGTAGTTAAAGATTTCTATAGCTGTTATTAGAACATACGATTTCTTGGAAGAAATCAGCCCAGATTTCTTACCACGGACATGGCTTTGACTTGTGCCTTAGCTTAAGCTGTTTGTCAACTCTATTCAACAATTGACCATCGAAGTGAAAAAAAATCTGTCAAACTAGCTACTTAATTACATGGCAGTTTGCTCTGGATTGCAGGCGTGTTGGTGAGGAGATCAAATTCTCATTACTTTACCTTACCAGTGTGGTGGATTACTACTTTGTCTATAGAAGTTTAACCGTACGGGATTAAGCTTTTAAAATATGGCTGGAAGCTGAAAGAGAAACAAATGTGACTTTACTGATCTGCATGCAGAACTCCAACTTGATATGGGCGGTGACAAGTAAACTTTAGTGCGGGGCTGCCTGATGCTGGGTGGGAAGCAGATGCTAGGATTTGCCTCAGCTCTGCACAGCTCAGAACTCTCAGTTGGTCCCGGCCAAGTGTCTCCTCTGCATACTGAGGGAATGTGTTACAGGTTGTGAGGCTTTTTTATCCTCACATGGATATCAGTTGCCATGTGTTGACTTCGGACTGTGAGCATATCTTTCTTTTGACTTCTGTGACTCTGTTTTGTTTTTAATTCTCAGAATAGCTGTTACTCAGTCTTCAGGCAGCAGACATTTTTGTGAAACAAATTAGGTCCTGGTATAGAAATCTCATTGGTCCATTGTGGAGGTGATGACTTGGGGAGCAATTCTCCTGATGACTGCACACATTTGGGAACTTCTCCCTTGTGGAGCCAACATATTGTTTTCAGTTTTTCCTCCACAGCAAGAAGTGAGGAACAGACTCTTAGCAAGATGTAACTATGCCACACTGTACAGCAAAATTGTCTCACAGCACCAATGACATTACAAGACCATATTCTTATCACTGAGCTGAAGGTAAATGGTAGCCTCCACAGCATTATGACTAATGCATATCTGATTTCTGTGTATGAAGGCGACAGTCCTGTTTCTTTAGATGCCAAGCTTTGGCTTACAGAACTTGTCTCCTTTTAGATGGGGCGTGTGGGTGTGCATGCATGTATGTATGTTATGCGTGTATGTGTGTGTTGCAAAAATTCTTTGCCATCATATAGGAGAGAAGAATAGTACTGACATGTAGAGGAAGCAAAAATACATTTCAGAAATTCTAAACAACAAACAATCAAATCCCCAAGACTGAAGAGGTGTCATGGAAGGTCTTAAGAAGAACTATATCATACAGTTCTTTTCTGTGGTTCCTCTATGAGCAGAAAAGACTAGAAAGATTGGGATGCTTTTCCCAACAAATGGAACTTCAATCTAGAAAAGTGAAATAATTTTTTTATTGCTAAGATATGATCTGCTGATGCAATAAAGATAAAAAGATAAATCAGCTTCCCTGGGTAATTCCAGGACACGTATAAGCAAATAAGACTAATCGGTACCAATCATAGCCTCTAATTAAAACAGAGTTCCTGTCTGGTTGGAACTGTCAGTTGAAAGGTGCAGGATTTCTCACTGGGAACTCTTTCTGCTCAGGGCCAAACTCCCCATTAGGTGTAGTGCTTCAGCCTGCAATGGGATCCACTTAAGCCCATCCTCCAACGACATCTGGGAGAAGGAGTTAAGGCAAGAGGGAGGGAGGCAATGATTTTCCTATTGGCTGCAACTGGAAACCCTCCTGAACTGAAGCTTAATATGGAGCAAGCACTTTCAGCTGAAGTAAGTAGAAAAGTTAAGGCACGTTGACCCTGAAGGATTCTGGGAGTCCCCATTTTTCATGTCTGGTGTCCAGATTGCTCCTCCCTTTTCTTTTAAGGTCAGGCTATGACTGGGGATCACAGGGATCTGGGCACAGGAGGAAGTCAGGAAGACGATTTTTTCCATACTTTTGTCGTGACCAATTTAGATGAAAAGCAAAAATCTATTTCTTTCTTCAAAGACAGTCCGTTTTCAGTTTGAATGACAGTAGAAGTTTGCAAAAGCAGGCTCCCTAGCACCTGAAGCATCTGTAGGATGAATCTTTGGCAAAACTGGGGACGCTGTAATAATTCACAGGATGTTTTCTTTCAAAAAGGCTAAAAAAATACAATACAGGTCTGTAAGTTTATGAAAGCTATAAAGTGTTATTTTTTTGTAATTAGGTATTCAGAGGTACATGTTGGCTCTAAGAATATTGGCAGAGAGCCACTGCCAAGAGGAGTGAGCATAATCCAGCTTGTCTTTCAGCTATTTTGATATGGATTTGTAAGGCTCAAGTGACTGGACATCAGGAAACTGAAATAGAAATGAGGAGCGTTAAGACACTTGGCTGAAACAGCAGTCTCCGGAAAAACGTTGGCGTTGTATTCCCAAGTTTGGCAAAGAAGTAAGGCTGTCAGGGCAGGGCTGAGTGCTTGGTTTTCGCGCCATGACTCCCTGACCATTCGCATCCATGGAAGGCGATGTGAAATACGGGACAATCGTGACTTGCTTCTTCCCCAGCGCACTGTCTGAATGTGGTTCAGCGTCCTCCATGCGCAGTGTGGATGCTCTGGCCTGGGAATGTGGTAGTGGCTGGCAGGATGCTTAGCTGGAAAGCTGGCGGGGCACGGGGACAGGCCTCGGGATGCAGGGGTTCCTTTCTGGTCATGCCTTCCCTTTGGCTGGAGTAGGGTCATAGAGACTGGCTGCTTTTCACATCCCTGCACGGCCCGGAGTCGGGTCTCAGGCACCTTCAGATGATTGCGCAGCCGCCGTGGCACTCTGAGCAGCCTTTCTTTTTTTTCTTGGGGTGGAAGATAGTGAGGATGGCTTCATCAAAAACCGCTTTGAGACCTTTTTGAGTCAGGGCAGAACATTCCAAGTAGCACTGTGCGCCGATCTTAAACACAAAGAAAGAGGCATGAGTGTTAACCCTCTCTGCCTTGCCAGGTCCCCAGCTCAGCTTGTCCCATACTCGGCCTGTTTCCAGTGTCCCTTCATTTGTATGCGGAGTGTAGCAGTGACATTGAAATGTCACTGCTTTGTGTGGAATGAATCAGTGTCATTGGGCCTACGGACCACATCTGCAGTGTCATTGGGCCTACGGACCACATCTGTACAGGGCAGCTTCTTAGATTATTTCTGATTGCTATGTATCCCTTGGCAACATAATACCTATTTGCTATTATTACTCAATATCAATATACCTTAAAAAACAAATTTTCAGTAGAAACACTAAAGCATGAAGACGTAAAAATCATAGAAGACATTTCATGAGACACCTTTCTTCACTCGATAGTCTTCATGTTTATGTGATGTGTATTTTTTTTACTGGGTTAGTGTTTTATTTTGAATTATTATAGCAATTGCTCATTAAATTTTGCCTGTATGGTATGTCTGCATACATGCAGTGCCAAAGGGGGCCAGAAGAGGGCACCAGATCTTTTGGAACCACAGTTATAGACAGTTGTGGGTGCTGGAAATTGAACCCAGGTCCTCTGGAAGAGCAGCCAGTGCTGTTAACTGCTGAGCCAACTGTCAGCCCCTTGAAGATTAAAAAAAGAGTTATTTCATACTATTGGGAGATTTGAGAATCATAAAATCCTCATGAGAAACATAGAAATCCAGGCCTGAAACCGTTGGTTCTCATTAAGAAAATCACTGGCCAGGAAGGGTGTGTTTGACTGTCAGCTTCGGTGAAGGACGAGGCCTGGGTGTTCACATCTCATAAGCTCACACGAGCCAACTATGCACTGAGGGCCTCTGAATATTAAGAACATCTGGAGAGACACCTTTTTTTTTTGGTGGCTTTCCATTAGGAAACTAACTTTGAAAAAAGCAGAGCGAATGCAGATGAGGTTTGCTGGATGTTGAACCTGGGGACTGTGGCAGATGAACAGGAAACAGGGCGGGAAAAGCACAGCTTCTGTGTTACAGCTGGGGGGCTTGTAGAGGTGTACCCGGGGCTTCTGGGGGACCAGGGGAAGGGGACTGTGGCTTGTGTCCCCACTAGCATGAGATGGGTGAACTCCTCAACTTCCACAAGGTCACTCTAGGCCAGGGTTGGTCACTTTCCTATTTTTCTAGAGAGCTGGAAATTTAGAGTTCTAGTTAATGTACACATTTGTGGCTCAGTCAGCATACAGATGCTGGATGTATTTATCATTCATCTGTCACCTGGAAGTTCACATAATGTGGAGTGAAGAGAAACTTGTGGTTTATTCTAGACAAGAGTGAATGCAGCCCAAGCAAGGCAAAATAATCATTCAATGAGAAAGAGACAACTACGCATACAATCTCTGTCTCTTGAGGGGTGTGTGTGTGTATCTGGGTATGTGTCTCTGTGTGTGTCTGTATGTGTGTGTATCTGTGTGTGTGTATCTGTATGTGTGTATGTATGTATGTGCATATGTATGTATGTTTCTGTGTGTGTAGGCCGGAGGAGGATGCCAATTGTCTTGTTCTTTCACTCTGTTCCCTGGAGACAGGGTCTCTCATTCAACCTGGACCTGGCTGGCCAGTGAACTCCTGGGATCTGCTGTCTCTGCCTCAGATAATAGGGTCAGTGGCCCAAGTGGCCAAGCCTGGCTTCTGTGTGGGTGCTGGAATTTAAATTTGTGTGTAAATCATATGTGTGTCTGTATAGTAAGTGCTTTTACATGTTGAGCCATCTTTCAGCCCTTGAGGTGTGTTGCTTTTCTTATTCTATGAGCTTCTATGACCCCTATTACCCAAGTTGGAGCTGACAATCACTGCGATGGGATTGTTGAAAGCATCACAGATACAAAGACTCAGTATGAAATAAAAATGCTTTGGTTAGGTCCAGAAATTTATTTCAAAACTCTTCCTGCAGACGGCATGTACTATTTTGTATGCTTTCTTTTCTGACAAGAATGGCTGTTTTATAAGTCAATGGGAAATGCCAAAAACAGGGAATTGAAACCATCAGTGCCTTTTGGAAGCCCACTTTATGGATTTTGTTCTGGCAATGGCTTGGCCTTTAGATTAGAAACAACTTTAAAAACTTATTAAAAACAGGATATGAGACAGAGGAAAAAGGCAGTAGAGAATTTTTTTTCTAACGATTACATGAAATGTCTTCTGCTGCCCTTGGGGGTTGAATCCAAGCTTGATATACACACATGTAAAAAGCACAGTGAGTAAATGATTAACTGAATGGCTGCTTGCTTGTCACGTGATGATGCCTGTCAGTTATGCAGAGGGAGCAACAGCAACAACTGAACCCTAGAAGGAGCTGTAGGCTGTTGTAATTGGCCAACCTCCCCACTAATGATTCCAAAGTTCAAGACTGATTCTGAAAATTCCAGTTTGGCTGACTCGTTCATTCATTCTGGGACCCTGAGAGATGAGCGGGGCTTAACTCTCTCCCTTCCTACAGTGCTGCCAACTGACAGTGTACTAGTGTATTAATCTCTCAGCCCGTGCCCCTAAATGACGAAGGAGGAGCCCAAACATGTCTCTCCCCGTTCTAATATGGGGGGTTGTGTGATGAGACTGTCCATAAAGGCCTTGTTGTGTGTGGAAGTTAACACAATGTTATGGTGTGCTGATAGTTCCAGGAAAAGTAGTCAGCAGATTTCGGGTGTGACCTGGGATGTACGTGTGAGAAACAGAGCCCAGTTGTGAGACGACTGTTTGTAGCCGTGGTCTACGTGCTCGGAGAGCCAGAGAGGAGCATTTGTCCTGGTTCATGGAAAGGGCACAGACATGATGGAAAGAATGCTTAAAAGTTCTTTAGGGTCACCGAAGATTGCAATGGAAAATTGTGTCAAGGAGACACAGCCCGTCTTGTTCACATCGGCACCCTTTCCTGGTTCTTGGAGCAAAGTGACCCACACAGTCAAGTGCTTAGGATCCATCTGCAGAAATCAGGAACTCCCGGTTGTGACACAAATGTGAGCAATTTGAAGCAGGCTTTACCGAACTGACACATTGCAAGGGAACAAAACAAAGCAAAACAAAGGACAGCTTGAGGTTGTAAACAGAACCTGGTTCTGATACCTAAGGTGCATTGTTTCCATCACTGGGAAACATGCCAGAAAGAGAACACACAAGATCTTATGGGAAGAAATGAAAACAAACCAACTTGTAACATGATTAACCAAGTGAAGCGGCAAGCTAGTACTTTTTCCTTTTCCTTCCTCTGGCTGCAGAGGGACATGTCGAGGAGGCATAGAAATAACTAGAAGGGTAGGGGTGGAGCCTAGCTGGCAGCATTCTCGCCAAGGATGTACAAAGCCTGGAGTTTGCTTCCCTGCTCTTCATAAAACAGATGTGGCACCAGCCAAGAGAGAAAGGTCACCCTCAGGTATATATTGAGTTCAGGGCCAGCCTGGGCTACTTGTGAGCCTTCTGAAAAACAAAAATATAAAACTAGTAGCTAGAAGGAACATAGACAAATGTCTTCCCAGTGTAGACAAGTCTAAGGGGCAAGGTGGCCAATGGGGACAGTTTTCTGAGACGAAGGAGCAAGGTGGTCAACAGAGACAGTTTGAGAGTCAAAGTTTATGGTCAGTTAACTCATCACAGTGGTCAGGAACCCAAGGAGGTAAGACCCTTGCCAATTCATTGACAGGCCAGAAAACTGGCTGGAAGTGGCGGAGATGAGGATTTGCCGGTCTCCCAAACCAGTGGCTGAATGACTCGGCTCCGCTCTCCCTTGCAGTCTATGGAAAAGGAGCCCCACACTGAGGAATGTCTTTGCAGACTCTAGGAGGAAGCCAAAGAGCACTGTGGCTGGAGCATCGCCCATCTCATAACCTCTCTCTGTCACTCGCCTTTCTAAGCCTCAGTTTCCTCTAGGAAAGTGTTGACATAATACACACACCATGGGAGGTGCTTCGAGGAATCCTGTGACACACCCAGGATCAACACTGTGTATATGCTCCCTATCATAGAAAAGTGCTTGACGGAGCAATCAAAGACCGAAGACACTGAAGCCATTTCTGTAATTGTGTGAGTTGTCATGAAACTGGTTAGTCCCACGTGGCTTTCTTTCGGGTTGCGTTTCATAGGTGCCAGGTGCTTGCGAACCCCAGCAGTTGCTAGGAGAGGCTGGCAAAAGGCAACCGAGTGGTGAACTCATCCACTGTTCTTCAAGTGAATCTAAAGTGAACCGGGTGGCTTTGGAGAGGGAGAAGCTGAACCCCAGCGCCAAAAGCCGACTTCCCAAGTGAGGAGTGAGGAGTGAGGCTGGGCAGTCACCAGGATGGAGCTGAGGACAGCCCCACAGACAAGGAACAGAGAGAGCAAGCTACTGCAGAAACAGTGGGACCTTCTGCCAGGAGCCACATACAGTTACATACATTAACATGTATGTTAAAGAGAGCATCTGGGGCTGCGTGTTGGAGTAGAACCTCAGATCCACTCATTTCTCCAAGACAGACAGACAGACAGACAGACAGACAGACACACACACACACACAGACACACACACATGCACGGCTGGGAAAGAGACAACTGGCATTATGATCATGTGTGCAGGATGTGATGTGCACACAGCTGGATTCAAATGTGTCTGCCATTGAGACCTGCTTGCCTCCCCAGGGCTGTTTCCTCTCCTAAGAGGCTTGGCACCCCAGAATCTCCTCGAATGGCTTGTACTTGTTACATTGACAGAACTGTAGTGGAAGTAGAAAGAGTTCAAGTGTGTGTGTGTGTGATGTCTTTATGCACTGTGCCCATAAAACATCAGAGTTAATCCACTTACAGCAAAGGTGTCATATTTCATTTGGTAACAAGTTTTAATAAGAGAAATGCTTTTTTTTTCCTTTTTGCAAAGGAGTAATTTGTAGTTAACATTACTTTCGACTGATTTTGAGAAGGTGGCTAACTGCCAGGGGGCATCCATTTTGCAGGGTTAGTTACTTAAAAGCTAAAATATTAAAAGTTTAAAGTCTCCAGCTTGAATTGATGGGTTGGTGACTAAATCTAGGAGGAAGTGATTTCAAATTACAGAAATGTGGCCCCTAAGTCTCCTTCTGCAAAAAGAACTCTCGTGCACACGTGTCCCTTTTAGTGGCTGCCTTGTACACATCACGGTGGTGGCAGGGAGGCGAAGACTTGGTGTCTGGTAAATACATTTTGAAGCACCTCTGCAACAAGATCACTGTTTATGGCTCACTCTCACAAGTGAAGAATGGTCAGTGGAGAAATGCCAGCTCGGAGCTAGCTGATTTCATCTGTCAAGCCCCCGCTTAGACTCCTCACCCTGTTACTCTTAGCTGTGTGTTATTTTTCCATACGCTATCTGTAACACAGTCCAGACTAAGTGGCTATTCATTATAGGAAGGGAGGTATTGGACAAAGATAACCCTGTCAGATTTTAATTCAAGTTCCTCCCTGGAAAACAAAAATCACAGAATGCCTCACCTGAGGTCATTTAGACGAGTTACACTAATGATAAACAGGGAAGTTTACAGATGCATGCCAAATGATTCCCCTTAATTCCTGTTAAATATGGCAAGTTTGTGTTCTAGACATTGCTGGAGCAAAATGACAAGTGCTTAGCAGTTGAAACTCACGAGGTTTCTTAATGAAAAGCAGAAGGTGCCTGCTGGCACAAACACTCGACAAAACAGCCCCTTCTAGCTCTTCTAGAACAGAGGAAGAAACAAAACACAAAAATTCACAACACACCCTAGTTTAAGGCAAAATCCCACGTAGCTCACCCATCCCTGAACCCTCAGTTCAAATGTGACCGTACCGCTTTTGCCAGCTTCACGCCATGCTCGTAGGTGAGGGGTTTCTCCTTCATGTATAGGAGCCGTGCCAAGGTTTTGGGGTCATCCCGGAGATCGATCTGTGACAAAGAGACCGTTACTATTTTCAGGCCTTCTCAGTTACTTAAAGTGGAGACATAAGATAGTACCCTTCCCCCTCCTCAACGTCTTTGATGATGTTGAATGTTCTCTGAGAAACCAATGTACATACCCATGCTCTGAGAGTATGAAGTGGGGTGTGTGTGTGTGTGTGTGTGTGTGTGTGTGTGTGTGTGTGTGTACCAGGATGGTCTTACACTTTCTTCATGAAAGCATTTACCCTGGCTGCTGAGAACATCCTCCAATGATCCTGTGCTATCTGGGGTTTTGAGTTTTCTTTCTCTTTTCTAGACTTCACAGATGGTCCAGTACCTTGTAGTGATTAATTACTTGACTGCAACTTTGCAACTTATATCACTTATTATACAATGTGTTTTGTGGCTTTGGATCCATTTTTTTTTCTTGTCTGAATCAAATCTTGACCTTCAAAGGGATGGAGATTTGCTACCTGTGAGACTTTTTCAACAGATAACAAATGGACAGAGAGCCCTTGCAGGGGAGTCCCGGAGATGAGAGGCCAAAGGGCTCACACATCAAACAACAGAATCTCTCTCCAGGGGGAGTTGCTTTGAGGGCAGCAGTAGACAATTTACTAAACATCGTGGTTGCTTTCAAATGTCACTGTGTATGTGGGCACACAGGGTTTGCTTTTTAAAGGAAGTCAGCAAGGTCATGCTAGGACTCCGTCGGGTAGGACAATGCATATGTGAAATTGTGGTTTTATGTTTCCGCTGTTTTTTCTATTTACTTTAGTTGATGGACTCGGTGTCTGTTCTAAATAGATTCAAGTCACCCCGAGGGGTTGAATGTCCAGCTATGTATGTTGGCAGCAGGACCAAGGCTTCTCATTATGGACAAACACTAACACTTGCAATTGAGGGCAAAAGACTTCATTTAAACAGGCAAACCGTTATCTTTCAGAAATGTGGGTTGTCTTCAGGAGTGTGGATAAAGGAGTTCCACGCTGCCTGCATTTAAGAGAAAATACATCTCCCCATCAGCCCATATTGTTTTTAGAAAGCATTTTTCTTTTATTTATGTTTCTTTTTAAAAATTTTTCTCTTTGTCAAATAGGATTCAAAATGAGGACTCAAGTAGGAGCATAGAAGGTAGGTACAAAGCCTGGCAGCCATAGTACCGTCCTGACCTCAGGACACTAATGCAGATCCAAACCAGCAAAGAACTAAACCCATTTAAACTACAGATAGTTCAGACAGTCTTCAACCAACAGGAGGTTAATGGATGGAATTTTATCAGCTTCCAACCCTTCAAGGCCTTGACTTAATACATGTTGCTCTTAATATGTATGTGGGTGGCCAAGGAGTTAAGGAAAATGCAGAGGAGAGAGCTTACTCTCCTGCTCCAGCAGGACCACCAAGGATACTTGCCATATGCCCTATTTGAATGTAGGGTCAGTTTGACCTGCATACCTAGTTTTCTGTATTAAAACAATTGTGGCGGCCAGCTTTAACCATATCAGATAGTTGCCGTGCGTTGGTGGCGCACGCCTTTAATCTCAGCACTCCGGAGGCAGAGGCAGGTGGATCTCTGTGAGTTCGAGGACAGTGTGTTCTACAGAGCAAGTTCCAGGACAGCCTCCACAACAATACAGATAAATCCTGTCTCGAAAAACAAAAACAAAAACAAAACAATATCAGATAGTATGTACAATTGATGCCCCTGTTTCATTACTTTATTCAGGGTTGGAGAAGAGTATCTGTTAAAAAATTATTTTGTTATTAGAAAAAAAACAAGCTGTAAGATTAAGTTTAAACACCGGATCAAAACTTTCTGCCTCATAGGAAACAGCTATATAACATTTTCAGCTAAATGATCACACATCTTCAGGACTTCTGTTCAGGGATGAGATAGATATCTCTGAGACTCTGTCCTGGTGTTCGGCAGAATACAGGGTTCGCCTTCCGCACAGCCCCTCCCACCCTCCCGTCACCCCCATTTTCACCTGCGTCCCGATGAGGACGTAAGGCACGTGAGGCATGCAGTCCTTCAGTTCCGGGACCCACTCCTCCTGGACGTTGTGATAAGAGGCAGGGTTCACGACAGAGAAGCAGATCAGAAACACGTCGGTGTTGGGGTAGGAGAGCGGCCGCAGCTGGTTGTAGTCCTCCTGTGGAGAGAACAGAGGGGAGCTGATACAGGCTGTGCACAGTCTGTGCAGCCCGTGGGACTCTTGCAGGGAAGGCTCTATAGTTGCAGCTGGTGAGCCACACCCTTTGTTGTACACAGAGATCACATGTTTCCCATTTCAGATCAACCTAGCAATGTAAACAGCTTTATTGAGGTACAATTTATATACCACAATGTCCACCCACTTATTTCTTCTTTGCACTGTATACTAGTTTAATGTATAGCAGCACTATAGTTAAGGGAATAAGTACATTCATCTCCTCACATACTTACTGTTTTTACTGACGACAGCACCTAAAATCTACCTCTCCAGCTCATTTCTAATACACCACTCACGACTGCTGGCTGTAGTTCTTGCGCTGTGAACTGTAGCTTCTAGAATTACTCATCCTCCCTAATGGTACCTTGTGGGTACCAGACTACTCTGCTTCTATGTCTTCAGAACCTTAGCCATTTAAACAGAACAATTAGCAGGGATGAGTGCAATTCTCCCGAGACACTGGAATTGAATCGCCTGGAACATGTATTTAAATGACTAGGTCATTGACCCACTGAACTTCTCTTAAACAATTAAAAATTGTTTTCAAATTTAACATAGAGTAAGCTAAAATACAAAGCAAAGCATTGTTGCCAAATGAGATACATCTGTTGAAGAAATATGTTTGGGATTTGTTCGTAATCTGACCTGAGAGCCACAGTGTGTGTGTGTGTGTGTATGTGTGTGTGTGTGTGTGTGCACGTGCGTGTGTGTTTAATTCAGTTATTTAGTCGACAAGGAGTTTGGAGTTTTAGGTCTCTCAATAAAAAGTAATTGTACATTTAAATAGAATTAATAACACTTAGCCAATAGTAATGTGTGCTAAAATGCATCCTCCTTATATATGCATCCATATGCTATCACATATATCACACACACGGCAGTACAGTGGTATTATGTAACTATATATATATATATATATGGAACACTGTATTTTGAGCACAGCTTGGCCATTCCCATCTCACCAGAGATCAGTCCTGTAGATGAGCACTCAGCTTTCCTGTGGGCATTTACTACAGTGACTCTTATTAGGGTCATCTGGGGTCCTGATGCATGCTAAGCCCTACAAGTGAAGGGACCTGGATCATTATTTGTTACTCCTCACAACATTCTGTGTCCTCTGCCACTGGTCCTTCTACTCAGATTGTCAGAAACAGATCAGGGACCAGGTTGATCAGGTTTTCTCATCCTCTACCTATGCCCTGTTCACAAATAATTTTATGAAGAAGGGTGACTCATCCTAAAAAGTGGGGTTTAGGGGCTGGAAAGATGGCTCAGTGTTTAGCCTCTTCCACAGGACCTGGATTCAATGCCCAGAAACCTCACGACAACTCCCAACAGTCTGCAACTCAGGTTCTAGGGGATACAGCGCCGTCTTCTGACCTCCATGGGCATAGGCACATAAGTGGTGCAAAAAACACACATTTAGGTAAACACTCATACACATAAAATAATAAAATTAAAATTGTTTTAAAAGTGAAGGTTTACAATGACCCCCGAGTGAGCTGCTGCTCCAGCTCCTCCCTCCTTTGAGCAAATCAGAACCTTTGGAACATAGGGCTGGGTATGGAAGAACCCTGCACTGATTGGTCAGGTGTGCGCCTGGGGTGGAGAAAGCTGATTGTATGTAGCATCATCATTTTCAGCATCAGAACACGAGTCTTGGGATCCTCACCAAAGACTAGGCACCACTGCAAGAAGTACATGCATTGTCTATTGGAGTTCTCCCAGAAGCACTAGAATGATAGTACCACCAGCATTCACATTTCACAGAAGAGGAGGTCAAGTACCAGGGCTATCAAGTCATTGAATATCAAAAATGTATACCTAAAGGAAACATTTTGTGTGCCTCCAGACCTAGCTTTAGATTTGCTCTGCTATTGCCATATCTCAGGATTTTAGATAAAAGATTAAGTTTGTTTGTGACTTGCCTATTTAGGAATATGCATAGGTTAACCAACACGTTACTGTAGGGGTGCATTGTATTTGACATTGGGCACTGGCTCCAAATTGCCACAAGATGGCAGCAGACACTGTATATTTAAAATCTCAGCTGTTTCTCCTGCCGCAACAACCAAAACCAAAACAATCCAGTTAGCCTCAGAACTAGGCAAGGGAGGAGCCATAACTGGTGATCTGAAAGGATAGTGTTCATTTATTGATTTGCTAGCCATTGAATAAAAATGCTGCTTAGATCATGGGACGGTTGGGGAGGTAGAGATGTGTTCATTTGCTGTGGTCCTCCAGCACAGGGATTCCTGGTGGCACGAGCTTTCTGGCTTCACAGTGCTCTGTGTTCTAGGTTTGTTTGTTTCTGTAGGAACTTTAGTACTGCTGTGTAATTCCACTTAAAAAGACTGATTACTCACTGGACGTGTGGCTCTGTCTGTCAAGGATGCTGCATGAACTGCATAAGGTAATTAAGAGCTGGGCATCAAGTTGGGGAAAGAGGATGAAAATACACAAAACAATTCCATGTATCTGAAAGGAGGCTTCTCTGCCTCTTTTAGTTATTCTGGGAAGGTAGAGTATTTATCTGACTGAACTGGAAAATTTCATTATCAAATCTGGAGGATCCCTAGACCCGAGTTAGTATAGCAATTTCCAAAGGACGGCCCTCAGGTCAGCAGAACAGGAATCTGTCTGTTGAGAGCACCTTCAGATTGTACACTCCCAGGTGTCCAAAGCTTAAACACATGGCTCTGTCAGCCTGACACAGTTCTGATGCGGCTCAAATTTTCTGGAGCTCAGGTTACCTTCTCCCTTCTACCAGCTAGCTATAGAGTTCTCAGACTGGGACATCCAATAGATTTCAACAGGACAATAGAGAAAAATACCTTTCAAAGAAGGTTTATACTTGGCTGGTAGGAGCCTACCACCCCTGGGTGGCTTCGGTTAGGAACTATGGCAGAAGTCCAGGATTAATAAAAAGAATTCCTGTCTTGGCGATTTGTGGAGGTTGGGTGTTTGAACTCATATCTGATGATGGCTTGAATGCATTTTTGTGTGATGAAGCACACTTGTACTGTAGGTTATAGTCACGTGTGCAGATGATGTCAGTCAGCCATGGGGAAGATCAAAATGGTCCTTGTGGCATTGAGGCACCTTCCAATGCTAAAAATGACTGGACAACAGGCACTTGTGAGCTTCTCGGAGAGACAGTGTGTTAATCTATAAAAGCCACTAGATAGGGCTTTGGATGGCTAAGCTAAGGGGACTTGGGTTAGGGTAGAGTAGGCAGGGATTTGGGACTGTGTAGGTTTTTGAGTACTTACTACCTGTTGCCTTCCAAAGGCAAACAAGGGTTCAGCACAGAGGTGACTCTGTCAAGTGTGGACACGGTGGCTGAATATTTCAAAAGTTGTGAGGAGCACTCAGCATAGATTGGCTAATCATCCCCGCCCCAAACACGCTCATGAGCTGCTGTGTCTCGAAGGGACAGTGGTGGAACCACGAAGCCATTAGTTCTCCTTGCATTTGGATCACTCATTGCCAGTGGAATTGTACTCAGCACCAGGTCTGGTCTAGAATACTATGTCTGGTAAGTGCCCAGGGCTGCACTCTGTGTAGCAAGGAGAACAGCCTTGAGCCGGCCTCTTGACTCAGACCCACAAGCGGCTGGGGATAGAATTCTGCTTTCTTTGCTCTGTGAGCTTCCTGACATTTATCCTGGGGTTGTCAGCAGCAGCCTTGCTCTTCATGCTCTCCCCGCAAGTCAAGCTTGACTCGGGAAGCAGGACGACGGGGTGGTAGCTCAGGGTGTTGCCCAAGAGCATGACGGGTGGAGAGGAAGTCAACCGGTTTCAAATCCCTACCTCGCTTGTCACTGCTACTTTGGTGTAGTGTGGGGTGAGATCTCTTTGCCCCTGTTTTTTTTCTTTGTAAAGTGTAAAATGCTCATACGCTGTGGGACTACAATGCTGTAATGTGTATGAATCCTTGGAATGGTCCTTCAGATGCAGTGAGAACGTTAACGATGGAGGAAACGAGTCCGTCTCTCATCTAAAGCCAACAGCAGGGGCAGTTCCTGGAACCCCGGCCCCTGTGCTCACTGGATACCCGAGACGATTCTGAAGTTCACTTTGCTGAACTAAGCAGTAATGAGGTTCAAATATTCGTGGACGGTGATTTGTCAGTGTTCTTCATCTCCATTTTTAAGAATGGGTCCTGAAGTTAGCAGCATTCTCCAGACAGCACACTCCTAGAAATCACGCCGAGATACGTGGGATGAGAAAGTTTGAGTTGCTTATTGAGCAGAAAACATTCATTCTGAGGTTTCAGGCAAACTTTCCACGAAGGGTTGCTGCCAGACCCTGCGCTCCAGATGGCCCTGCTGGCTCAGCCAATAGCAAAGAGGAAGTCTCACGTGCTTCCAAGTAGACCTGGGGTTGCCATTAATGAGACCCAGCTGCACTCACCTCCTGCCCGCTCACATGCTTCTAAAGAAGCAGCTCTGGGGGGTAGGAGGGGCAGGACCTTCAGCTAACAGGTCCTGGTGAAGGCATGTGGCTGCAGCCCTGGGCCAGTGTGGTCTTCCTGCTCCCACAGTCATTGGTGGCAGCTGAGCGGCTGTGGGCTGTGGTTTGGCAGTGAGAGATAGCATCCCATGCTCGCACCGTGTGCGGTCTGCCTCAGGTCTTGAGGGGCTCACGTGCAGGGAACTCAGGCTCACTCTCTGATGAGAAACTGGTGTCCGATTAGACACATAGTGGAGGAGGTGGTCCCTGGCTCCTGACCCCAGGGGACACTCATTCCTCCCGGCAGTGATGCTGACCCCCACTTCTGCTGGTGCTTGCTGTCTTTGAGATACATCTACCTGGAGTGTGGTCTGAGAGCTGGCTTTGCCCATGTCACCGCTGAGAAGAGGGTGAGATGCCTCACCACCATGGTTGATCCACTGTAGACTCAGACGACACTTGGCTCTGAGCATTGGCCTGGGACACCCCGTTCCCCAGGCCATGAGTGCTCAGGCTTAACTGAAGTCCCACCACGCTGGCCTCATGCTTTCCTCTTTATCTCTCATGGCATTTGCCAAACAAGCCAGATGGGCATGGCGTACATCTTAGAGCTCAGTATTTCTTCCTGTACCCGAACCAGAAATCTGAGTACAGGAGCCACTTTCAGAGAAACTGAACAATCCTTCACAAGGGGTGTGTGTCGCACAGGTGAGTTGGCCTGACCTGAGGAGACATGCCAGCGGACTGACCCTATTGCTTGTTTGGTGATCTGAGGGCTAAATCTAAATGCTTTACTAACCTAGTGTCTGAGTTTTTTTTTCCGGTGGCTTTTTTTTTCTTTTTCAAGACAGGGTTTCTCTATGGAGCTCTGGCTGGCCCAGAACTTACTCTGTAGAGCAGGCTGGCCTCCACTTTATAGATCTGTCTGCCTCTTCCTCCTGAGTGCTGGGATCAAAGGCGTGTGCCACTACCACCTATCCCTAGTGCATGAAATTCCAAGCCAATTGAATTCTGAACATTTCTTTTCTTCAAAGGGCTCCACTCAAAGCCCAAATGATAGTTTGTCTCAGGAGTCTGGGGAAGAAGCCAGCTTCCATGTGCTGGCTGCATATATATGACTTCATTAGACACCATCTTTCTCTGTGAGTTTAAGGCCAGCCTGGTCTACCGAGCTAGGGCTAGGACAGCCATGGCTATCAAAGACACACTGTCTGGAAAAACCAAGAAAACAAAACAAAAGCACCTTCAGCAAAAGCTTGGCTGGGCTGTGGGAGAGTCTTGAGCTTGTCTATACAGCAGCCATATTGGGGGCTGAATGGTAGAGCTGGCTAAACAGTTTTGCTCAGGGTTGCCTTCAAGGGCGGGGTGACAAGTTCCTCTCACCTGACCTTTCAGCATACCTTTGCTTCTTGAGTTGTTCCCCCGCCCCCACCTTCAGAATAGGGACTCATTTCCTTTGTGTGTTTGTGGTTCTGGGATTATCAACATGCTCTGAGATCACTTCTCTTTCCTTACTTAGTAAGGACACCCTGGGTAAATTTTACCCACCTTAGTAATAGACACCCTGGGTAAATTTTAATTAGTTGTGGGTGTTCTTCAGCCTCTTAACTTCAGGAACATTTGCTAGTATCACTGAAGGGCACTGGAACTTTTGGGACATGAATTTGGGGATGGCTATTCTTGGTTGTCAATGTGGCTACATCTGGAATGAAACCCAAGTGGCTGGGTATAGCTATGAGGGATTTCTCTTAATTAAATCATTTGAAGAGGAGAGACCCACTTTTAACCTGAATCTTTTGGGGTGGGAAGACCCACCTTTAACCTGGGCCACGCCTTCTGGTGGCAGACTAGATAAAGGACATGGAAGAAGGAAGCTTCATCTCTGCTGCTTGCTTCTGCTCTCACTGACAAATCCTACTTCTTCAGGATTTTAACATATAATGAATAACAGCCGAGACATCCAGCCTCATGGACTGAACAACTACTGGATTCCTGAACCTTCCATTGGTAGACAGCCATTGTTGGACTAGCTGGACCACAGCCTGTAAGTCATGCTAATCTATCAGTTGGTTCTGTTCCTCTAGAAAACCTGAACAAAATTAAATTTGTTGTGAAGTCTTTTTGGCTAATTTGTAGATGTAGTTATTTTGTTGGAAACATGCCTCAGCCAGTAAAGACTTAAATTCATTAATTTGGAGCCAGGGTGCAAGGGCCTGCATTTGTCTCTGTTGTGTTCTTGAGACAAGGTCTCATGTAGCCCAGGATGGCCTTGCACTTCCTAGGTAACTGAGGGTGATTTTGAACTTCTGATCCTGCTGCCTCTGCTTCCCAAGAAGCACCTGCATTTCTAAGATGCTCCATGGACAAGCAATGCTGCTGGTCAGTGGACAGCATTTTGATGGCAATTGCTAGAGCTGTGGCTCTCAAAGTACGCTGTCCAAAGCAGCAGCAATGGAAACCTATCATAAGTGCAAAATCTTGGGACTCATCGTAGACTTATAGAATCGGAAACTGTGGTGTGGGTCCCTATGGGTGGTTTTAAACAAGCTCTGGGTGGTTCTGGCACATGTTCAACTTTGATAATCATCGTCCCAGAACACGAACGACAGTTTATCCTTTACTGTAACATGTCCATGTATTTAAAGTCTTTCACTGCTGAAAGGCTTCCCTTGGGTCTTGAATCAAAGTTTTTTGATTAATTACTCCAGCTCTTTCAGGGTTTCTTGAAATTATCTTTTAAACTTCTTAATCACAGAACCTGAGGCCCAGAAGGAACCTTCAGATATGCTCCAATTTCCTTTCTCCATGATCTATGCTCCCCTGTGAGCCTTGTCTATCCGGAGATTTCAAAATAAGTGGAGGAAAGCCTTAAGGTAAAAGTTAAGTTGAAGAAACAGCTTGAATCTACTTGTTATTACTATATTTTATGGTATTTGTTGCCCCTGTGTCAGAGGTTTGGGTCACCCTACTAGCTTCAATTTGAAGTTTAAGGATATTTTCACAATATATCATCACTTCTACTTTCACACTGGTATTTTCTTAAAGGATAGATAATGGGAAGTAATAACTCAACTCTACAAGAGCTTTTAAGCAGTTTTATTGACTGTAGAATGAAATGGAGATCAAGGGATATGTTGTTGAGACAATTGACACACAGGAACCAACACTTGTTGTGGATTACTACAGAAGTGTTGGGAGAGCTAAATGGGCAGGGACTTCCAGAATTCTCTGAGAAGTCAAGGAGGGCAGACCAGTTCAGAGTATGAAAGAATCTCTGCTGTGTTGGGCTTTGCAAGCTGGATTGTATGGACGTTACACACTGGGAGGGTGTGATGAATAACGACACCCCATGTGATTGAGTTAGAGTGGGCAATTCCAGTCCGTGAGTCCATGTACCTCATGGGCTGGTATGTTTTCTGATAGGACCTGTATTCTCTTGTATCAGAGGATGCAAACTGACTTTTTCAGCTGGGGGCATCTTTTTTCCCCTTGCCATGTTTTTCTTTCTTTATATTGATGGGAGAGGTCACCCTACTCCCTAGTTCTGACAGTGGTTTTTGCAAGTCATCTGGCCACGAGTAGAATCTGGGGGTTCCTGGAAAGGAGCCTTGGGTATGATACTAGAATATCCAGGCTCCGTGCTCTAGCTGTAAAACAACAACTTTGACATCCCACATACACTTCTTGGTGGTCCTTGCACATGCACACTGAAAACCGCGAAGAGATTCCATTTATTTATTTTCTAGTATAGAGCTTTCAAGTTGAACAAAATGACATCTCTCCAGATAATTGTGAGAAAAGACCTCGACAAATGCATAGCTATTAACAATTACCAAGAAACTCACAGTGGGAAATGCCACGGTCAAATATTCACTCCAAAGGACTTAAGCTGTATAAATTTGGACTGACTGAACAACCCGCTGATTTTGACCTAAATAAATGATTCAAGACATATGGTAACACGCTCTATCCAAGAAATTAGGCCACGGCCCTCCATGGCTCATTCGCATCCCCTCCTCCACCGGGTGAACTTCTAACACTGGATGTTTTCCACAGCACAGTGTGAGGTGCAGGAAAAGGCAGTCACCCAGTATTTCCACCCAAGGACAGCCATGTGCAGGTTCACTGTTGGGGATTCAAGTCCATGCCCTTCCACTCTCAAACCCCAAGAGACACTTGTGACAGAATAAGAGTATTCGGGGAACCTTAGAAAATTTAGTCAGTTTTCAGGGGATTGGGGTTGACCTTCGTCTTTGGGACATATCCAGACACTTGTTTTTCTTTCAGTCTTTAATCTATCATGTCACCCCCATCTCTTTTTGAGCCTTTTCACAACTCATTAGATAAATTAGGTAAATCAAATACAGGATGGGCAAAGAAAATAGCATGGGGAAAAGGGCCAAGCTACAGTTTGTAAAATAGACCCATACATCTTGGATTTGGAACAGGCTTGGGTTGGAGACAATTGAAATTCTTGACTAGAAATTTTATTTTGTTATTTTGAGTACTGATGGTTTTTCAGTGTTGGGCATATCAATAGTATCTTGGACAGTGACATATATATATATATATATATATGTTAAAGTTAAGAATGTGCATTTGGTTGTCATTTGGGTAGAATGTACATAAGTCCCAAATGATTAGAATGGGAAATATCTGTGCTATTAGCTCCCAAATGATGAGTCAAATGGACCATTCTTTCTCCCACACCCCCTTCCCCTTAATGAATCAAAATAGTGAGATCGTACCTGTCCTGCGGTGTCGTACAATCCAAGCAAGTGCTGTTTGCCTCCCACTGTCACAGTAACTAGGGGAGAAGAGAAGAGAATGCATAAACATAGGCTTCAATCGGTGGACTGTCTCATGCCAGCATCTCTCTGGGCAGGGAGGATGAGCATATGTCTCATTGGTGTATATTCTAAACCAAGTTGACAGCACAGTTTCCAAATGAAAGAGAACCTTGGACTGCAGTGACAGCAGATGGTCTGAGCCAACTCCAAATCTCTCAATGGAGATAGACATTTTTGGTGTTACTCGAGTACTCTGTAGGCTGTTTGGTGACCCTTACTGGGCTCTACAATACGAAGCTCTGGAAGAAAAAGGATGCTAAGTCCCTTTCTGGCTAGGTTGTCACTGTCTTTGCTTCTGAGCTACCTTTGGAGATACAGAATCAGGTAATTAGCCATAAGAGATCTCTGTGTTCTTGGGGCTGAGGAGATAACCACTGCACAAACGTGGAGACTTGACTTAGGATTCTCAGCACCCATGGAAAAGTCCAGGTGTCTGTACCTGTCCTTTCATGTACCCCTGTGAGCTTCTGTGCATGGGTACAGGGGAGAGACAGATATGGGCAGATTTCTGGAACTCACTGGCCAGCCAGTGAAGCCAATTGGTGAGCACCAGCTTTAGTAAGAGACATTGTCTTCAAAGATAAACCAGAGTCACCAAGGAAGACATCAGAAATGAACCTCTGACCTCTGCTTCACACATGGGTAGCTGCATACACATGCATGTGCATGCACATGACAATACACTACATATACACACATGACCATATACTACATATACACACCTGACCATACATACCATGTACATACCTGACCATACATACCAGATACACACCTGACCATACATACCATATACACACCTGACCATACACACCATATACACACCTGGCCACATACTTTATACACAGACCTAACCAGACATTACATATCCCTGACCATACACTACATATACATACCTGACCATACACCACACACACACACACACACACACACACACACACACACACACACACCGGACTTTGAGATGTTAATAAACCCAGGTGCTGTCCGGGCATGTGGTTTTAAGTGTGTGGATTCACATACCTACAGGGTTAGATGTACCCAGCAGGCTTGATGCCTTGCCAAGCAATTGTGCTCAAAGTGCGGAGTAATGTGGGAATACCAGCCGCTCTGCACATGTCTGGGAATGACACAAAGTCTCAAGTCACTGCTCAACCGAGAGGGACCAGATTGAATACAGAGGGATACGGCTCTCTTGGTGAGTGGAAAGAGCAAGGTTACATTTCCAGAAAATCTAAACCTCTCCTGGGAGATACGGAATCAAACATGCAGGAGCCCCCCCCCCATTAGAAAGTGTGCAATGACAGAGAGAAAGTGGGTTCCATCCCCTCTGCCATCAACCGTGGGAAATGGTGACCTTTTAGAGCTAGGTGGCTAATGTGTCAGCCTCATTCCTACCCAGCTGCTCAGGGCTGATGACTTGGTGCTGATTTTTACTTTGATTTATTTTCAGGTTGATGGGCATCGTGTATGTAAAAACATTTCCCAGTGCCGCTCTTGGAAAAGCACTTGTTTAAAAGGCATAGTCTCCCCAGATACTGGGGACTGTTTTTCTAATCCACTCAGATCCACATGTGTTCAGTTTCATAACATGAAGGCAGCCAGATGTGCTTCTGAGCGTGTGCTTTTAAACGTCAAACTCAGCTCTATGAAATCCTCACTTGCAAAACTGGCTGACAGGCAGGGGTGGGGCACTTAAACATTTTTATTTCTGTCCACAAGTCAGGCTAGCGATGGAAATAGAGGTGTCTAGAGCTCTTCATCCTGTTTTATTTCCTTCTTTCTGACCATTGGCAGAAGAGAGCCTGGGCTGATGTCCCTGAAATTGGCCTAAATCGCTTCCTTAGTGACCAATTGGTTACTTAGTCATGGATCAAGAATGAATGGAAGAACCCCAGCTATTATAACATGGGATTTCCTGCCTCCAGTGGGCCGGGCACATGGAGGTCAGGGCTGCTGTTCATGGGATCCTGCACACTGCTCTGGGACCCACAGACCTAGGGCCAATAGGAGGCAAGCACTAGAAGCTGAGCCGACTCAGAGGTCACACTGAATACTGCGAATATTCCCAAGTGGTGACTGTGGCCTTTGTCACCCGTGTTGTGCAGGCTCAGCTTTCACTGCCCCCCTTTTGTAGAGAACTGTCATTTCCTGCAGCCCTCTTTCCTTCAGGCCACACCCCTTTCTCCCTGGCTGCTGGGACTCCAGGACACTTCACCAGGCCTGAGACAAGTGTGATCAAGAAAGGTTAGCCAGGAGCTGAGAGTCTGTACAGCGTCCCCTTTCCTCTGCTGGCATTTGCTCAGAGAAGGCTTTCTGGTAGAGATGTCTAAGCTGAGTCTGCGAAGATGGCCTTGAGTTTCCCAGGCTCTTGCGGCTTTATTTTGAAGTCTTTTTCAAGCTCTTAAAGTACTTTGGCTGAGGAAATAGAAAGGAAAAGAACGAAGAGAATTTCCTTGGGTTAAGGGAGAATGGTGGTATAGGATAGGGGAGGATGCCATTGTTGGCATAGAAACGGGGTGAATTTTCAGCATTGCTGTCGATGGTGGCTTGCTCTGCTAACCCTTCAGGAGGGATGCTAAAAGCAAGACTTAGAACTTGTGTCTCAATCTTTGAGAGTCCCTTCAGTCCCTCTTCCCTGTTTCTGTTAGAGGGCATCAAGGAACATCAGAGACAGAGGTCAGCATCAATTGTACAAGACATGGCTTTATGAATCCTAGACCAGCCGTGGATGTCTTATTGCTTGCCAGCTTGTGTTCCATGAGGCTCTACAACCTGGCAAAGAATGAGTCACAACTCCATGGAAATAAGGCCCTGCCACCAAGAGCTAATCATCCATGAAATGAAGTCCCAGCATGGTTGCTCACCCCAGGTCACTCTGCCTTTGATTCCTACCATTGCTTTTCATCACTGGAGTGACTCTGGGGACTTCATCTAGCACCCCAAGTCCCATCTTCCTTTTCTGTTAAAAATGGAATCCATATGGTAGAAGGAGAAAACTGACTACTACAGGTTGTGTTCTGGCCTCCATGTGTGTACTGGGGCATACTCCTCTCCTGCCATAAACAAATGTAACAAGAATATTTACAAAACGGGTTCATAGAATATTTGTGAGAAGGACATGTGATGAGGAATTATCTAACTTACATCCTTGTTCACAGTGGGTGCTGAATGAATGTATCCAACAAGTGCATATTTAGTTCATTCTGAGGACAGGGGCCAGTCTGTCTTTCTTTCTACGAGTACCCAGTGTGTATGAACTGTCACACAATGGGAATCTTAACTGCGAGCCACTAGTTACTCTCTACCATAACTGATAGCTGTTTAAATCTGTCTTATGTTCTCACTGAGGGCAGAGTCCCCACACCCATCACGGATTCTGCCTCATGAAGCAGATATTGAATACTCAGGGCAGAAACTCCTGCACAGGGTCCAGTCCTTGCCATGGAGACAAGGGTCCTTGGGACTGTGCAAGGCTGTGGCTAGATCGCCCCTGGCTAACCACTGACCACAAAGCTACCAGGAAGGCTATACCCAGGTTGGCTTCCCAAAGGCCTTCTATTCTGAACTGGTTGTCTCAAGAAAATAGAAAACCTACAGCAACAGCTGACCTGAGCAAGTGGGATCTCACGGATCCCAGTTTGACTGCTGGGGAACCAGCATAGGACTGAACCAGACTCCCTGAATGTGGGTGTCAGTTGGGAGGCCTGGGCAGTCTATAGGGTCTCTGGCAGTGGAACTAGGATGTATCCCTAGTGCACGTACGGGATTTGGGAGCTCATTCCCTATTGAGGGATACTCTCTTAGCCTAGATACATGGGGGAGAACCTAGGCCCTACCCCAAATGATGTGACAGACTTTGATGATCCCCTATAGGAGGCCTCACTCTCTATGAAGAGTGGATGGGGGGTGGGGTGGGGGATTGGTGGGGGGCATGGGAGGGCAGGAGGGAGAGGGAACTTGGATTGCCATGTAAAATAAGATTGTTTTTAATTTAAATAAAACTTTGTAATAAAAAATGAAAGTGTGAAAAGTTGATCACGGTCTGTTATGTAGGTAAAAAACGAAGACTTTCCTGAAACCCCCATTAAATTCTTTGCTTCCTTGTGTTGGTTCTGGGGTAAATTGGAGAGTTCATTTCTTGAGGCATGGAAGCCAGGATACAAATTTTCACTCTTGAGGGTCATTAACTGAACCCAGAGAGAAAATAGCCCAGGCAGGACTGAGGCCTCTTTCCCTCCTCAACTTATTGTCTTAAAGCTGTGTAATTTGTAAATGCGTGAGTCCTCTGGCCATCAGTCCCAGCCATGAGTAGAGTGATGGTGTGAGGGACTGGGTTCAAAACCTCTTCCTTGTTGGGTAGCAGCTGTCTCAGCGGCACAACGTAGTCTTCTGAAGTTCAGTGTGATGAAACAAGGTAAACTCCACGGATTCTAACAGCGGAAATGTTAGCTCAGGGGAAGTTCCCCGCTGGCTACCCATGTCACTTAGGTCTAGTGTACTCTCTCAGTGGTAGGCTCAAGCCTGACTGTGTGATGTGGGTAGCACCACAGGAGTGCTATTTTTGGAGAAAGAAATACTAACTTTTAGATCCAGCAAGAATCGGAATTTTAAGAGAGTTAAACAAGTGGCTCTCTGTTCATGTCAAGGATTTATGAACTGATGAACAAGTGTCCAAAGACGACTTTGAGGAGCAGTGGGAAGGCTGAAGCAGGAGGATCAAGAGTTCAATGCTAGCCTGTACTATGCAGCAAGTCCTTGCCAAAAAACAAAACAAAACAAAAATAAAAAACAGAGCAAACAAACCAAAACAGAACAACAGCCCTATCCCTCCCAAAGGCTGCTGGAGCGTGTCCAACACCTATCCCAAGCCTCCTAAGTGTGTGTCCATTTTATTAAGGGGCAAGTTCAGAGGCATCAGCCATGAAATTTCCCCAAATACCCATTAGGGAGCAGTTAG